TATATATATATATATATATATAAAAAAAAGTAATATGCAAATTGACCGGATGGTTGAACAACCAGTTGGCAATGACGTGCACTGACCACCAGAGGGTCTTCCCCCAGCCTGGGAACCGGGGGTGGGTGGCGGCGGATGTGGCAGGCAGCGGGGAAGATTGGCCCTGATCGTGTGCTGGGCCTCTAGTCTCATTTAAAGAGAATCATCTAATATGGCTTCTTCCACTTAGCATAATGTTTTCAAAGTTTATTGCTGAAGAATATTCCATTGCTATGGGTATATTACATTTTATTTATTCATTGGTCAACACTGGGATTGTTTACCTTTTTTGGCTATTAAGAGTAATGCTGTTATGAGCATTCACATACAAGTTCTTATGCGGCCCTGTGTTTTCCTGACTCTTGGATATAGACCGAGGAATGGAATTGTTGGGTTTTGTGCTAACTCTATTTTTTACCTTTTGAGAACCTCCAGACTATTTTCCAAAGTGCCTGCCCATTTTACATTCCCACCAGCATTGCTACTGTCTTTCTTTTTTGACTCAGATTTTTTTAAATATGTTTTTATTGATTTCAGAGAGAGGAAGGGAAAAGAGAAACAGATAGAAACATCAATGATGAGAGAGAATCATTGATTGGCTGCCTCCTGCTACTGGCATCGAGCCTTCAACCTGGTGTGTGCCCTGACCAGGAATCGAACCAACGACCTCTTGGTTTCTGGGTTGACACTCAACCACTGAGCCATACTGACCAGGCATTTTTTTTAATGCAAGAAACATTGTTCTAATATTAAAGTGTGGTGTAAAACGTAGGAAAAGGCAATGAGGCCATTATTTTTTATTAAAATACTAGAGGCCTGGTGCACAAAAATTTGTGCACTGGCAGGGGAGGGGAGATGTGTGGGGGGGTGTCCCTCACCCCCACTTGTGCCCTCTCACAGTCTGGGACCCCTCAGGAGATAAGCACCTGCTGGCTAAGGCCCGCTCCCCGGGTGGCAGATGGCAGGCCCAATCCCTCGGTGCCTGCCTCTCCTCCTCCCTGGGTCGTACACACAGCAGGGCCGATCCAGGGATTGGGGCGCCGCCCCGAGTCAAGGACACAGCAGGGCTGATCTGGGGGTTGGGGTGCCGCCCCGGGTCAGGTCGCACATGGGACACCCCGGGCGGGTCAGGTCGCACACGGACGCCTGCCGCCCTAGGTCGCAGATAGCAGGCCCGGATGGTGGCAGGGCAGGCAGGATGGCGCTGTCCCGCCCTGCCTGCAGTTTGCAAATTTGCCGCCATCTTTGTTGGTTAATTTGCATATCATGCTGATTAGCCAATGGGAGGTGTAGCAAAGGTACGGTCAATTACCATGTTTGTCTATTATTAGATGGGATGTTTTTATTGATTTAGAGAGAGAAAGGAAGGGAGAAGGGGGAGAGAAACATTGATGAAAGAGGTACATTGAGCTGAAACCGGTTTGGCTCAGTGGATGGGGCGTCGGCCTGCGGACTGAAAGGTCCCGGGTTCGATTCCGGTCAAGGGCATGTACCTGGGTTGCGGGCACATCCCCACTGGGGGGTGTGCAGGAGTCAGCTGATCGATGTTTCTCTCTCATCGATGTTTCTAACTCTCTATCTCTCTCCCTTTCTCTCTGTAAAAAATCAATAAAATATATTAAAAAAAAAAAAAAAGAGGTACATTGATTGGCTGCCTACACAACCCCCACTGGGGATTGAGCCAGCAACCTGGCATGTGCCCTGACCGGGAATCAAACCAGTGACCTCCTGGTGCATGGGATGACGCTCAAACCACTAAGCCATACTGGCCAGGCCTGAGCAATTTTTTTTAATGCCAGAATTTATCAGGACTGCAGTTCCTTTTGCTGTGGCAGTGACTGTAAGTAATGAACTGAGAACAATCAAATTAGCCCTTGAATATATCAGACTTTTATCTGCCCCCTTCTTCGCCACAATCTGCTTGCTACAGATGCTTCTGCCATTTCAAGCACTAAAAGAAAGCTCTGAGTGCCTTGTACAAGTGATATAAGAGGGCTGGTTTTGACTCAGAGTAATGCATTCTCTGACAGTTTTCAGGGATGAAGGAAGAAGCACGGTCATAAAGTAAAAATCATCTTCACTCCCACCACCTTCCTCTGTATCTGAAACCAGAACATTCCAATAGAGGCTGAAATGCTTCATTCCTGATGTCATACCCTGCCCTTAACAGAAATATGTAAAACACTTAGCAAACACGAAGCTTCATCAGTGGTGTCAGTTTCTTTGACTAAAGAAAGTTTTACCTATACCCATGCTAGACTATTTTTTTTTTTTTTTTTTTTTTAATGTCCTGGAGGTTTTTGCATCTGGAAGAGTGCAGGGTAGTAAAGTTCAGAATGAGTCAAAAGTAGGGTTCGTTTGTTTGTTTTTAGAAAGTGGGAGGACAATTGTGAAAGGAAGAAAACGGGCTAGGAGAAACCAGCAGGATGCCTCGACTGCAGGTGCATTCTCAGATCAGTCTTTTAGCAAAAGTTACATGTGAAAATGCAGAATGGAGGACCTGGGAATTGAGTCCTTTAAAATTGTCTTTGCTTTTGTGCTTTGAGAAAGTCTTTGTGACCCCTGGGAGGGATGCATGCACAGTTTTAGACCACCTATGTGAAAAGAAGTTGGATTGTGGGTTGAAAATCTGAAAAGAGGTCTAAGCTGGAGGCAAAAGTTGGGACTCGTGGGAATGGTAAAGGGTGTCCCAAAATTCACGCAAGATTTGAATTTTGCGTGAGCATTAACAACAACAACAAAAAAAAATAAAAGCCTAATTTTACTTGGTTTATTGAATCAGATTCTAATATCTGTTGCCCTTTGATTTCAATCCCTTCAATTTGATAAGCATTACCAAGTACCAACTATGGCCCAGGAGCAGTGACAGTGAAGACCAGTGAAGACCACGGCTTTGCGTATGTGCCAGCAAAGCCGTGGAGGCCATTTACCTGATGTGCTATTCCATCCATAACCCTATGCTGTATACTTTATGAATCGATAAAAAATTTACAATTTTTAATTATAAACCTGTGTTTTCTATCAAAATTACTTCTTGCGTGAATTTTGGGACACCCTTTATTTGTTTTTGTTTTTGTTTTTTTTAAATATATTTCATTGATTTTTTTACAGAGAGGAAGGGAGAGAGATAGAGAGTTAGAAACATCGATGAGAGAGAAACATCGATCAGCTGCCGCCTGCACATCTACTGGGGATGTGCCCGCAACCCAGGTACATGCCCTTGACCGGAATCGAACCTGGGACCTTCCAGTCCGCAGGCCGATGCTCTATCCACTGAGCCAAACCGGTTTCAGCACCCTTTATTTGGATGCAGTTTAAAGAAAGTGTGGTCCCTGAAGAAGATGACGTAGGGGAAGAAGAGAAGAGCCTAGCATTGCGGGGGGGATTGTCACTTGGGGAGTGAGCAAAGGAAGAGAAGATGGAGATGGGGAGATCAGAGAGGTGAAGGGAATGTAAAACTGAGAGCTAATGGGTTTTCAGCAAGGATAGCCAATGTGGCGTGACTGGGAGGTCAGAGAGGATTCGGCCTGAGAAACCAATGCAAAAACAAATGTAGGTGAAGGTTACTGCTGCCTCCTGCATGGCCTTCTTACCTGTACAGCAGTCCCTTCAGGAGCGTGGCTGCCCTCCACAGCAAGGCATTCTTTGGTCCTAAAACTAAACACATTTATCCTACCAATGGCAACAAAACCTGGACCCAGCTAGCTTGGATTTAGATACAAAAACAGAGCCAGTGGTTGCCTCCCTCTGATCTCCACACCTTTGTAATAGCAGCCTGCTCACCATCAGCCCAGGCACGGGGAGGTCTTTGTGCTCTAAATTTAACTTGTTCTTCCTGCGGAGATGTTGGACCCTGGGACAGTGGAGGGTCCCTGCAGGCCAAGGATCCAGTAACAGTTCTTTAGTTGTAAAAGCTTTGATAAGACAGTTTCCGTAGAATGGTAACGGGAAAGCCAGAATGGAAGTGATGAGGAGAAACGGAGAGTGTGGTTAGTCGATTGGGAGCGTGTCTTCCCAGAAACTTGCCACTGGAGGGAAAGAAAGGTGGGATGCCAGCAGCAGTACAGCATTGGGTCAAGGGAAGCTTTTGTTGTTTTTAGGATTGGTGATCTTAGAACATATTCAGCGACAAAAGGGAAGAATTCACAGAAGAAACTGAAGTTCAAGAGAGGAGATAGTGGAGAGGAAGTGCGAGAGAGGAAGTGGGATACCAAGGGCAAAAGACCAGAGAGAGAGAAGAGCACATCTCTCAGCGTCACCCACATTCTCTCCGGGACACAGAGCCAAAGTACAATGGCCCACGCACCTTTTGTTGCCCGGCAATTAGCCCCTCATGTACACAGTCAAAATTTGGGAAAATGTATATGTTTTCTCTTATGGTTTTATATATATATATATATATATATATTTTTTTTTTAATTGATTTCCAAGAGGAAGGGTGGGAGAGAGAGGTAGAAACATCAATGATGAGAGAATCATCATGGATTGGCTGCCTCCTGCACACCCCCCACTGGGGATCAAGCCCACAACCCAGGCATGTGCTGTGACCAGGAATCGAACCGCGACCTCCTGGTTTATAGGTCGATGCTCAACCACTGAGCCACACTGGCTGGGCTGATTTTCTTAGTCTTTTAAATAATGTTTTAGTCATCTCTGCTCTTCGTCATCTTCATCTTGGAGGCTGGGCTCTCGGCTTATCTGCATGTGTTCTCTTCCACAGTCCTCTAGCTCCTTGTCAGCTAGTCCCGTAGACACTCCCTCCTTGTCACCATTCATTTTGTTAGCCCCTTAACCCAACTTCCATTTCTCTGTTCTATTATGTAAGCTGCCAGGGCAATATTCAATTTAACACAACTCGATAATTAGGTTTGCTTTGTGGAACATCAGCATTTAATTTTTGAAGGTGGCTGAAACTGTATTTTCTCATAGTAACAAAATTTTATGTTTGGGACTTCTTTTAGATTTACCATGAGCTTTAACAGACATAATCTGAAATACTATGTGCTACCAAAGAAGCCTAAAAAGGTAGCATTTGATTGCTTAGAATGGATCAGGAAGCATCACCCACGTGAGTACAGCCATGTGATGAATTATGTCTAGAAGTAATAAATACATGTCTTCTTAGTACCACAATCTTATATAATAAAAGGCTAATACGCAAATCAACCAAACGGCAGGATGACTGGTTGCTATGATGTGCACTGACCACCAGGGGCAGACACTCAACGCAGGAGCTGGGCTCACGGCTGGCGAGCGCAGTGGTGGTGGCGGCGGCAGTGCTAAAGATGTCTGACTGCCAGCTTAGGCCCGTTCCCCCCTGCGGAGCGGGCCTAAGCCATCAGTTGGACATCTTCCGAGGACTTCATGGACTACAAGAGTGTGCAGGCTGGGCCGAGGAACCCCCCACCCCTGTGTGCATGAATTTCATGCTCCGGGCCTCTAGTAGAATATATAAAATTGCATAAGAAACATTTCTCACGATAGCACTGATTTGCTATTTATAGAGCAGAATATCTCAACTCCCTCAGTTCTGAATATTGTGAAATCTCATTCGGTTTGATAACAATAAACCCTAACAAAAAATATGTTTTAAAATAAACCCTAACCAAAAAAAAATATTAAATATTTCCTCCTACATCTCTATTTTATAATGGATGGTTTCAGTGTCTTAACTCTGGCTTCTATCTGTGTGAATTATACAGGTCTTTGTTTCATTGTGTTCTCCCAAGTGTGTCTGCCTTTAAACTATAATAACTAAAATGAGATTCTGAGATTAATGGTAGTTTCCCATGTAACCCACTTTCCATGGAGAAGATAAACATCTTTATTTCATTTTTTAAAACTTAATATACATATTGGTTTGAAGAAATCAAACAGCACAGTGATGGACCATGAAAAATTAGTAATTTCCCTCTCCCTGGCAGCTAATATAAATAGCATAATAGAGTGTAAATCTATACCTTTGGCTCTGACACAGAGAAATGACTTTTTCTTTATACCTTTATTTTCTGATTTAAAAAATAAATACATAAAAACAACAATAAATATAATACATGCTCATTGAAGAACATTTAGAAAGCAGCAGAAAGAAGGAAGCAAAAGACAAACCTCACCTCAAGACAAGTCACTGTTATCTTTTTGGTTTGTTTCCTTCCGTAATTTTTGAATGCATTTTTCTGTCCATTAGCATACTATATAGTAGGTGTACCGGTTAATAATGGCGGATTTTGTAATCAAAGAAAACAAGATAATTTCAAGAGAAACCACCAAAAGTGCTTTATTCAAAGTAATGTCCATCGCTAGCTACACATTTCCCCCATCTTTCAGGTATTTTGTGGATACTGTCCCAATAGAACTTTTCTTGGTTTGAAGCAAACCATTCAGAGAACCAATTTCCCAGTTTTGAAGTGCTGCTCAGAAAGTGCGTGTGCCATCGATCTGAACAAGTGGTAATCTGAGGAGCAAGATCTGATGAATACGGCGGGTGGGTTAATACTTCCCAGGCAAGATCTTTTAACGTGTCTTTAACTGGTTTTGAATTGTGTGATGGTGCGTCATCACGAAGCAAAATTACTTTGCCGTGTCTTCTGGCACATTCTGGTCGTTTCATGATCAAAGCGTGGTTCAAATTGATTATTTGTTGTTGGTAGCGATCAGTATTAACGGTTTCACCTGGTTTTAGAAGCTCATACTACACCACACCTTCCTGATCCCACCAAATGCAGAGCATTGTCTTCTTTCTGAAGCAATTTGGCCTTGCAGTTGATGTTGATGGTTGACCTGGATCAAGCCATGATTTTGTGCTTTTGGGATTCTCAAAATGAATCCACTTTTCATCACCAGTCACAATCCAATGCAAAAAACGACTTTCTTTTGTGCCATTGAAGCAACATTTTACTGATGACTTTTCGGTTTTCCATATATCCTTCGTTCAGTTGATGTGGCACCCATTTTCCTTCTTTTAGGATATTTCCCATTGCTTGTAAACGATCGGAAATTGTTTGCTGAGCAGTTTGACACGCATCTTCATCCAATAATGCTTGTAATTGTTGGTTTTCAAACTTTTTCGGTTGACCTGGACATTCTTTGTCTTTCACATTGAAATCATCACTTTAAAAGCGTTTAAACCAGCATTCACAAGTATCTTGAGATGGAGCGTGTTCACCATAATCTTCCTGAAGTATATGATAACTTTTTCTTCAGAATAAAGTAATGAATTAAAACTTCCCACAATTGCTCTTTTTTTGGCACGAAATTCAACATTTTTAAGCATAAAAATATCTATGATAACACCTTCAGCAAATTTGACATGAAATTTTGAAGCTTGCTGTCAGTATAACAAAATAGCATACATATCAAATCGCATATGTATATCAACATATGTGTAACTCCATCTATTGAAAAAAATCCACATTATTAACTGGTACACGTAGTGTATATATATACTAGAGGCCCGATGCACGAAATTCATACAGTGAGCTCTGAGGGCCAAGGCAGCAGCCCCGGAAGGACGTCCGGTCTAATTAGCATATTACACTTTTATTATAGATTGTGGTTCTACCCTTAACCTGTTTTACATCTTGAGCATTTTCTCATGTCTTTTTAAAAACATAGAAAATACTTGACAATTATACCGTATATTATTTTATAATTTCCTGTCTTAGCCTCCTAATTTTGGCCATTAAAATTTTTCTAATTTTCAAAATTCAAATAAAACTTTTTGTGTAAGTCCTTGTACCGCTTTATTTTCTATATTAGTTTTCTAAAAGGAAACGAGTCCAAAGATAGAAGCATTTCTGGGGCTCTTTGATACATATTGCCATTTGTTTTCAACAAAGCTTGTGTAAGGGTGCCTTCCCATTTTCTAGCCAGTGTGAACTAGATAGAGCCCGGGGTTTGTCCAGGTCCACCTCAGGAGTCATATGCAGGGATAGGATTAAAGGTCAAACCATGACATTTTCAGTGCATATGAGTTCTCCTTGCTTGAATTCTTTTACCTACTATAAGAAAACTATGGAGGTCTGTTTATGTTTCATATGTTTTAAAGAACATCATATAGATTGTGCTGTTATTTATGTTACAAATCCTCATTTCTTGGCAGATGATTCAGGGATAATTTACTGCCTCTCCAGGCGAGAATGTGACACGATGGCTGACACCTTACAGAAGAATGGTCTCCGTGCTCTTGCTTATCATGCTGGCCTCAGTGATTCTGCCAGAGACGAAGTACAACACAAGTGGATCAACCAGGATGGCTGTCAGGTAACATTTTTAAAGATAAACATGTAATTTTTTTATAGTATATAAGCAAACTTGCTCATGTACAATGAAAATTGTTTTTATCATAAGTAGTAAACATCAAAATAAGACTGAAATTTAAAAGATGTTTTTGAAGACTTCTAAAGTTGCTCTTTCTTAAATAAAAAAAACCCAACAATTTTTATTGAGATTAATTCAAGACCATAAAATTCACCCTTTTAAAAAAAGTTTACAAGTCAGTAATTTTAGTATAGTCACAAGGTTATGCAGCCATCACCACCACTTCATCATTTTAAGAAGAAGCCCCATACCCATTAGCAGCTACCCCTTACTCCCCCAACCCTCCATTCCCTGGTAACCATTAATCTACTAGCTACTACTAATCTGTCTCTATAGATTTTCCTATTCTGGACATCCTATATAATAAAAGCCTAATATGCTATGTGTCTGGTCGTCCGTTCAACCAATCAAAGCATAATATGCTAATGATATGTTAAGGCCGCTCAACCACTTACTATGACGTGCACTGACCACCAGAGGGCAGATGCTCCAACTGATAGCTTAGCTTACTGCTGGGGTCCAGCCAATTGGGACTCAGCGAGATAGGCCAGACACACCCTGGAGCCCTCCCACAGTCTCTCTCCGGCCCCTCTTGCAATCTGGGACCCCTCGGGGATGTTGGAGAGCCGGTTTCAGCCCGATCCCACAGACCAGGCCAAGGAACCCCATTGGAGCACAAATTCATGCACCAGGCCTCTAGTTTCATATAAATGGAATCATACTGAATGTGTTCTTTTTTAAATATATTTTTATTGATTTCAGAGAGGAAGGGAGAGGGAGAGAGATAGAAACATCAATGATGAGAGAGAATCATTGATTGGCTGCCTCCTGCATGCCCCCTACTGGGGACCAAGCCTGCAACCCAGGCATGTGATCAGAATCGAACCCAGAACCCTTCCGTCCACAGGCCGACACTCCATCCACTGAGCCAAACCGGCCAGGGCCAGAATGTGTTCTTTTTTGACTCATTTCTTTTACTTATCATAATGTGTTTTTTTATTGTTGACACTATTACAGATGTCCCTCGTTCTCCCCTTTCCTGCCTCCACCCACTTATATGTTCTCAAGGTTTTATCGACATTGTAGCATGTATCAGTGCTTCATTCATGTTTGTGGCCAGGTAATTTTCCATTGTATGAATTTACCAGTTTGCTAGGCATTCATCAGTTGGTAGACTGTTGTGAATAAATGTGTGTATAAGACTTTGTTTGAATTGATGGGAATGTAAACTATAGAATTTTACATTCCCATCAGAAATATATGAGGTTCCAATGTTTCTGCTTCCTCATCAACACTTAGTATTGTCTGTCCTTTTACTGTATCCATGCAAGAGTGAATCTCAGGAAAAGGACTAATGCTTTTTTTGTAGTCTATGAATTTTTCAGCTCTCAGAAAAAGAAGCCATTACCCTCAAGATATGGAGGAGGAATATCTCTCAAAATTATTTCCTAAGGGGGAACAGAAAGATATCTTAGAGGATATCAGCCTAGTATCCTCAGAAAGAAGTGGTCTAAGATGCAAATCTGACTCAGTGCAGACATTTGAATCAATGATGTAGTAAGTAATTTGAGAATGTGAAAGAAAAAGAAAACAGATGGAAATTGAAAAGAAAAAATATGATACTTGTTGCTGACAGGGGATAGGGGTTTAGCTTACAAATAATAAGTGTACCCAAGGAAGAAATCAGGATAGTTAGAATGTGCTATAAGTAAATATATAACAAATTTAAAAGACAGAAATCACTGGAGGGAAACTTACATGTAGATATAGTTCACCACTTTGATTTACAAACCTAGAAAATTATATTCATCAAGATTTACTCTACAAAGAACAGAAAACAGACATGCCTAAGGATGTTTCACTAAATACATATTTTAAAAAAACAGGAATAGACTGTTTTTAGAATTAGAAATGGGAAGACTGGATCTAGAGAATTTCATACCCAGCTCAGTATCATTTATGTTGAAAACAATCAGGAAGTCATTTTCACATATGTAAACGTTCAGAAAATAGATCATTGATTTATCTTCACTGAAATACAGTGAAGATAAATATTTGATTAGTTAAATATATAAATTATTAATTTATATATTTAACTAATCAAATTTCTAGTATTTTTTTCCTTTAATAAACTTTTTTCTAAAGTTTCCCTGGAAGAATATTCAAGTGATGATAACTAAAAGAATTTGGCAAGAAAATAATAACACGTCAACACTGGCTATATTATAACATAGACAGATCAATGAAACAAATCCAGAAACAGACTGGGAAACATGTAAAACCAGTGTATAATAAAGAATGTATTAAAAATTAATGAGGAAGGAAAGATTATTCTACTGGTATCATTTTGGATCCTCGTATCAAAATTAATTACAGGTAAATAAAAATATTGCTATTTTTAAATGAATGAATTCTGAGTAGAAGAGAACCCAAACTTAGAAATAGCCCAAAACTACGTAATCACAGAAATGATACCTAAAAAGCTCAATGCTTCTGTATTAATAAAATTATAAGCAGCAACAAACTAGGAATTATATTTTCAACAAATAAAACATAATGAAGAGCTTGTAAATTTGATAAGAAAAACATGAGTCGTAATAAATTACCCTATAGGCCATCAAGAGACTATTGGAGTCCTAGCCGGTCTGGTTCAGTGGATAGAGCGTCGGCCTGCGGACTGAGGGTCCTGGGTTTGATTCCGTTCAAGGGCACATGCCCAGCTTGTAAGCTCGATCCCTAGTTAGGGGGCGTGAGGGAGGCAGCTGATCAATGATGTTTCTATTTCTCCTCCCTTCCTCTCTGGAATCAATTAATATATAATTTATTTATTTTTTATTATTTTTTTTCAAGAGACTATTGGATAGGAAAAACTATAAAAGGCCAAATTCAAATGCTTTTTTAAATGCAACTTTGCTAGTATTCAAAGGAATTCAAATTTAAAATAGAGATCATTTTCACCTCTTGCTCAAACTTTTACTAACTGTTGGGGACAGTGCTGGAAGAGGCAGGTCCCTGGTGTTCATGACAGCCTTTCTGGAAAACAATATGGTGGACTGTTATCAAGAGCCTCTAGTTGAATTGTGAGCTTGGAATCGACGTCAGTGTGATCTTTAATAGTAAATACCCCGATAACATTTTACCACTAAAGAGCCTAAATGTCCTGAGAGAATGAATGAGCACCTTATGGTCCTACATTCATGCCATTAAAAATGGTTTATGGCCCTAACCGGTTTGGCTCAGTGGATAGAGCGTTGGCCTGCGGACTGAAGGGTCCCAGGTTCGATTCCGGTCAAGGGCATGTACCTTGGTTGCGGGCACATCCCCAGGAGGGGGTGTGCAAAAGGCGGCTGATCGATGTTTCTCTCTCATCAATGTTTCTAACTCTCTATCCCTCTCCCTTCCTCTCTGTAAGAAATCAATAAAATATATATTTAAAAAAAAAAATGGTTTATGAAGAATTTTTTAATGATATGAAATGTTCATGATGGAGAAAGGTAGTGAAATGTAGAATTCAAAAGTGTGTAATCTCAACCATAACAAAGATTGAATAAAAAAATAGACAAGAAAAAAAAAGAAACCGATTTTTTTAAAATTCTTTAATCTTTATATATAGCCCTGACCAATTTGGTTTGGTTCAGTGTTTAGAGCATCAGCCCTCAGACCAAAGGGTCTTGGGTTCGATTCCTAGTCAAGGGAATCGAACCTTGGTTGCAGGTTCCCCAGCCCTGGTGGGGAAGCACACTCTCTCACATTGATGTTTTTTGTTCTCTGTCTCCCTCTCTCTCTTGCCCCCTCCTCTTCCCCCTCCCTTCCACTCTCTAGAAATCAATGGAAAAAATGTCCTCAGGTGACAATTTAAAAATATATACATAGTATAAATATTCTACAATATATATGCATATATATATATATATAACACTTTGATTAAAATATGGTTTTTAAAAATTGGTTAAAAATATTTTTAAAATCTAATTGTTTTCTACTCTCAGACAAGCTAATCCTTACAGTCAGGGTGTAGCCTACTGGACAGCCTTGGTCTTGTTAGATTTGTGAATTAGAATAAAACTTGGTTGTTTTTCTTCACCAAGAAATGATGATAGCCTGAAGTTTTAAAAGCAATACAGAAATAAAGAAGGAAGTAACAACTAAACAAAGCCAGTTTTCCAGGTAAAGGCTTTCGGAAGGAGTTGGCTGTCATCTGCAGCCTTGAGTCATGTATCCGCCCCACGTCCGGTTCTTGGAACCTTGTGGACCACACCCTGTGGCTTGTGGGCTGGGACATCTTTCTCCGAAGTCTATCTGCTCTCCACCACTACACTTCCTCTTTCCAAGGGGCTTTGCCTTCGATCAAAGTGCCATAAATTTAGATGGGCCGCGAACCTAGACTGCAGGCTGCTGCCATTCCCAACATTGACGAATGTCCCCATTTGCCATGCACATGCTCCATAGGTTGCAGTTCCCTTCTCTGGGATTCACAGTCACTGAGATCGTGGCATTAGCCTCAGTCTGGCTGCCAGATAGTTCATTTGCTTTTGAAATACCGTTTTTGCTGTAGCAATTAATCTTTTAAAAATAGTTTTATTTATATAATGCAATTTTGCCTGGAGATACCATGTTTTTGTCTGGGTTAAATAGGCCCTACATTTGCAAAGGAAATGGATATTCTTGAAGGTGATTTTTTGCTACACTGATTTATCAAGCTCCCGAAATTTAACTGTCACCTTGCTTCTACTAAGTAATTTGCATAGGCCAAGATCTAGGGTGTCCAGTCTTTTCCTGGTATAAACAACTCAGACTTTTACTCACATGAGTTTTGATAAAATCTTCACATTTTGACTGCAATTCACTGATGAATACAAGAAGCTGCTGTATGATCAGCTGCTGTCACTGGGAGAAGATGGCACACACGGAACCGGTGAATCATCAGAGAAGCTGGCAGCAGTGACCTTGGACGCTCGAGCCCTGGGAACACCTGAGCTCCTGAGCAGCACGGTCTGATCACTGGCCTGGATACCCCGGCCGTGTGCGCAGCACTCACACCACCTCGTCAGAAATGCTATTAAGAGAACAAACAGCGACAGCACGTTGAGAGGTGGCTGCTATCGATTCTGGCTCCCTCAGGTGACAGTGCCAGGTCACACAAGAAGATGCCTGCCCCACCGAGCGTCTCTTTACCTTCTTGGGTCTCAATAAAGCTGCAAATTGCCAATCTGGAATCTCCTATTAGTTGTGCTAAACAATGGGACCAAGTTAAGATACTAGATTGCTGTATAGAGTGCATCTTAAAATAGAAGAGAAAGCACCAATATTTCTACTATTATCAAACTTTACATGTAATCCATTGCTAGCCATGATAGCTATCATTTAATTGATTATTTTGATTTTATTTTTATTCAAGAGTCTTTTAATTATTCTCTTTCTGTGCCAGGAGGGCTGCTTATTCTTTTTAAAGTATGCTATTGCATAATTTATAAAAGAATAAAATTGCACTCTTTAACCTCTCTCTCATCTTACAATGCAAAATAAAAAATTAATGTTCATGATTCAAAAAAAAAAAAAAAAAAAAAGAAGAGAAAGCTTTGAGGAGCATCTGTTATTAAAATGACTGTTTTAATGCATTATGAGGCTAATAGGCTTTTGCTCTTACATCAGGTTATCTGTGCGACAATTGCATTTGGAATGGGGATTGACAAACCCGACGTGCGATTTGTGATCCACGCGTCTCTCCCTAAATCCGTGGAGGGTTACTACCAAGAATCTGGCCGAGCTGGAAGAGACGGGGAGATATCTCACTGCCTGCTTTTCTATACCTATTATGATGTGACCAGACTGAAGAGACTTATACTGAGTAAGTCGCCCTTCAGCCTTGTGATAGTGGTACCCTACTTCTGCTGTTGTGGTACTTTTGGTCTAGTTACAGAAAAACAGAAATGCTTATATAAATATGGGAGTTTTAGTATGCGCATATCATGCAAATCTTCATCATCGAGAATAATGAAGATTTGCAAAATATTTTCAGATACTCCTGACTATCTACATTTATTCCTATAAAACTAATATCTTAAGGGATGGCCATGAATATTTCGTTAATTATAATATGGAATGTCATGTTGGTATATAATGTTATTAATAATTATTTCATTTAATATTTAAAGTAACATGAATGTGTTATAAATATTTCTGTGATACTCTCTTTTGGTTTTTTTACTCTAATAAGTCTTTTTTGCTATGTTCTTCGTTTCTTTTAGTGGAAAAAGATGGAAACCATCATACAAGAGAAACTCACTTTAATAATTTGTATAGTATGGTACATTACTGTGAAAATATAACAGAATGCAGGCGAATACAGCTTTTGGCTTACTTTGGTGAAATTGGATTTAATCCTGATTTTTGTAAGAAACACCCAGAAGTTTCTTGTGATAATTGCTGTCAGTCAAAGGTAAAATGGAAAAAAAATTTTCTCCTCTTGATATAGAAAAGTTAGATGAAAGATGGATTTAATAATTAGTTTTCCCATCTTCTTGAGATAAGCCTTCTCAATCAATAAAACTGTCTTTGCTACCAAAAAAAAAGTTAGATGAAAATAGTGGCCCCTAAGGAATTAAACAAGGGAAAGATTGCTTCCTTCCCATAGTAATTTGGAATGGAAACATTTTAATATTCTATGGAATATCTTTAGAATTAGAAGCCCTTAAAAATATACTGGGCCTGTCTAAAACACAGGGGTTATTATATACATGCACTAATAATTACAAGATACTTTAGAAATATCATTATACTAAAAATCCAAAGTGAGCAGGTAGAATATTTTCAATTCAACTCTAATCCATATTTAAAGATCTCATTCTCAAAAGAGTTGTAGTAACTGCAGTCCTGTGTGTTTGAATTCAGATCAATTAGATTACTCTATAAATCGGTTTTTAAAAAACTATAAAGAATAATGGCAATAACTTCTAGATGAGTTAGCTATCATTTGTCCTAAAAATAACCTTGGGAGATTGTCAAATTCAAGTACTTGATTGTACTAGGATGGTAATGCTATGTTTTAATGTCTGCAGTTTACAGAGCATTTTCTCACGTGATATGTTACTCTAAATGTCTGTGTAAGGTGCTGGGGATTCACAAAAGAGCGTGGGGGGGCCCATTCATAGACTGGAGGGGAGACGGACCTATATGTGATCAGTGCAGTTACAAGTAGACATGCAGCAGTAGCCAGAGCAGAGGTGACTGAGTCTCTCTTGGGGTGCAATCTGGATTCATGGCCATCTCCACCCACCGCACCCAACTCTGTAGACATTGCTAATCAGGGCACTCATTCAACAAATATTTGTTGAGTGCCTGCTCTGTGACAGGCACTGTTGTAGGAGTTTGGGATACATCAGAGAACAAAATGTAAAGGTCCCTGCCCTTGAGGATCTTACATTCTAGCAGAAGGAGGCTGAGTACAAACACTACACATAACAAGCACATGTCAAGGGGAAGGGCTGTGGTGAGAAGCACAGCATTGTAAGGAGTCAGGAGTGATGGGTGGGACGCAGGATGCAGCAGTAGATACGGTGGCCCAGAGAAGTCTCATTGTAAAGGTGACGTCTGAGCAAAACCCTGAAGAAGACGAGTTAGCTGAGCAGCTCTCTGGATGTGGGCATTCCTGGCTGAAGCAAGAACAGCGGCCCTCAGGTGGGGGCAGGCTTGTGCGTTTGAGGGGTAAAAAAGGAGCCCACATGGTGGCTGGGCTGTGAGTTCGGAAAGAGGTCGTGGCAGGCCAGAGCAGTGGCTGGAGGGCTGCGCCACTCAGAATGGAGTGGTCCTCAGCGAAGGTGTTTGGGTGAGGCCGTCTGGCAGGAAGGATCAGGAATTCCGTTTGGGGCGTATTGAGTTAGATATGTCCATTAGATCCAGAAATTCTGAGAAGAGGCTGGTGATCCATATAAATTTGGGGTGTTTAACTTACTGATGTTATTTAAAGGCACAAGAGCAGATGAAATCTTCAGAGGTATAAGTTTAGACAGAAGAGAAGAAAAATAAAGATTGAGCCCTGGGACATTAAGAGATTGAGAAGAAGAAGAACTAGGAAAGAAGACCAAGAAAGAACAAGTGAGATAAGCGGAAAGCCAAAGAAACTAAGGATTTCAGGGAGGAGGGAGTGCTTAAGTAGTCAGATGCTGCTGCTAAGCCCAGTACAGTTAGCACTGAGAATTCACCTTGGCCCTGCAGAAACCATGGTGACTGTGGCTTGACCAGTTTCAGTAGGGTGGCGCAAAATTGGAGGCAGTGAATATATAGGACTCTTTCCAGTTTTGTTTGAAAGATGAACAGAGAAAATAAACAGTAGCTGGCAGGGGAAGTGTAGTCAAGAAAAGACAGGAGAAATAAACATTTGTGTGCGGATAGGAATTTGCCTCCAGAGGATGACAATTTGGTACATAAGGATGGGGGAGAATTGCTGAAGCAATGTCCTTGAGTAAGCAGAGGGGATGGGATCTAGTCCTATATAATAAAACCCAAATCTGCAAATCGAACAAACAGTAGAAAGACCAGTTGATATGACTTGCACTGACCACCAGAGGGCAGACACTCAATGCAGGAGTTGCCCCCTGGTGGTCAGTGCTCTCCCACAGGGGATGCACCGCTCAGCCAGAACCTGGGTTCACGGCTGGTGAGCACAGCAGCGGTGGAGGAGTCTTTCCCATCTCTGCAGCAGCGCTAAGGACCCCTTGGGGGATGTCCAGGGAGTGGGCCTAAGCCAGCAGGCAGACATCCTCTGAGGGGTCTCAGACTGCTAGAGGGCATAGGCCGGGCAGAGCTGCCCTCTCCCCCCCCCCCCCCTCCCCCCAGTGCACTAATGTCATGCACCAGGCCTCTAGTATACAGTATAAGTAGAGAGATTGGCTTTAAACAGAAATTTGGGTAGTTCATCTATAATAACAGGCGAAAGGATGAGAAAATGTGCAGCAGGTGCTGATGGTAGCTGTAGTGAAGGAAGTTTGTGAAATCTTTCCTGGTTACTTCAGTTTTCTCAAGTAGGAAGTGAGGTCGTCAGCTGACAGGATAAGAGAAGGGATTGAACAGAAAGGAGAAAGTAAAATAGTCATCTAAGACAGGGGTCAGTAAACCTTATCTAAAAAGGCCAGAGAGTAAATATTTTAAGCCTTTGGGCCTTAGAATCACAGCCGCTGTCACAACTACTACTCAACTCTGCTATTTTTAGCCCAAAGCAGACATAAACAGTAAGTGCATTGGTTTCCATGGCTGTGTTCCAGTAAAATTTGATTTAGAAAAGCAGTCGTATAGCTCATGGACTGTTGTCTGCTGACCACTGTTCTAAGAGAATGGAGGAGTGATGGACTAAGGATGTACAGAGATTACCTGGTAGCGTTAAGAGTCCACTTGAGGTTTGTGGCCATGTATTGAACGTGCAAACAGTCAACATGGTGGCAAGTGTGTTTCTCCAGCCAAGTTCAGCTGCAGAAGTGCAGACATGGATGGGAGCACTGCATCTACTGTGTCCTGTCAGGCAATGTGATGACGTGGCCTAAGGGCAAAGGACTTGAGGGTGTATGAAGGGTGGTATGATGATAGTGATGGTCTGTGGGATTCATGCTGAGTTAGGCGAACATCTGAGGATGAGGATTGGTGGATGCCAGATGATGTGAGCTGGAAAGGTAGGAGGTGGTGGTCAGAGAACCAAGGGGTTGTCTTCATTCGTTTGGGAGAAGTAATAGGTGTGACCTAGGGAGTGAGTTGCTGACTTCTGCGGAGGACAGGCTCACTGGAGCAGAGGAAATCAATGCTGAAGGCCAAGGTGTGGGAGGATCGCCTCTGTCCTAGTCAGGAATGATGTTGGAGAGAGTGACAGGGCACTCTTTCCTGATGATTCGAGATAGAGCCTCCAAATGGCTCCAAGTGTTCATGTAAGACGAGAAACCTGATCGCCTTCAGGTTGTTGAAATGTGGGCGATGAACAAGGGTTAGAAGAGGGGGAGTGGCATGTACAGACACAGAAGCAGGACACAGCTTTGGGGACACGCAAGCGGTTAGATTGCTAGTTTGGAGAACTAGCGGAGAGAGCATATGGTAATGGGGGCTTTAGAAAAAGGCAGAGTTTGGAGTCAGCCAAGGGGAATATGAGAAAGGGAACTGACGGGAGATAATAAAAAAGATAGACTGCAGCACCAGAGACCCAAAAGAGATGGGAAACTCATAAATTTGCATGTTTTTCATCTCAGAAGTCACCAGCCAGTACATAACAGACCACTGTTCTAGGGGTTCTGAAGGGTATTTTGTTTTCTAAGAATATTCTTACCTGTAGAGTACTGTCAGGTCATTGAAAGACAAGATGTATGTCTGTGAAGCAGTAATAAAGTAGATATAGTAGAGTGCTAATTGTTCTAGACGCAAGGTTAATATAAGAACTTAGAAGAGAATGAACATGTGAAACTTACTTAGATTTTGGTGTGGAAACGGTTGATTTATGACACTACTAGTTAGTAAACCTTAGCAATCTGGGTCTCATCTGAATTATCATAGAAGGTAATCTCTTTTTCTTCATAGGATTATAAGACACGAGATGTGACTGACGATGTGAAAAATATTGTAAGATTTGTGCAAGAACATAGTTCATCACAAGGAATGGGAAATAGGAACCATGTGGGTCCCTGTGGGAGGTTCACCATGAATATGCTGGTTGACATTTTCTTGGGTAAGTGATCTGTTTTATTAGTTTGCGTTATATCAGTTGAAGTTGAACATCTAAAGAATTCCCTTGTCTGTTTTCTTATAGACGTGAAGGGCTTCAGGATAAAACCTTTTTCGACTAACAAAAGAAAATCGGTTTTTATGAATTATGCCGATTTTTTTTTTCCAGAAAGAAATACTTTAATGTTATGTGTTTTTATTTTTTTTATTTTTTTTAATATATTTTATTGATTTTTTACAGAGAAGAAGGGAGAGGGATAGAGAGTTAGAAACATTGATGAGAGAGATCGATCAGATGCCTCCTGCACGCCCCCCACTGGGGATGTGCCCGCAACCAGGGTACATGCCCTTGACCGGAATCGAACCCGGGACCCTTGAGTCCGCAGGCCGACGCTCTATCCACTGAGCCAAACTGGTTCGGCTATGTGTTTTTAAAATTGAGTTTTAGAGAGAGAGGAAGGGAGAAAGAGAGAGACATCAATGTGAGAGAGAAACATAGATCACTGCCTCCTGCATGCAACCCAACTGGGGATCGAGCCCACAACCTGGAATCAGACAGGCTTTTCGGTGCATGGGACAGTGCTCAACCAACGGAGCCACAACGGCCAGGGCTATGCTAATTATTTTTATGGAATTTATAAGTCACTAAGGCAGTGATGGCGAACCTTCTGAGCTCGGCGTGTCAGCATTTTGAAAAGCCCTAACTTAACTCTGGTGCCGTGTCACATACAGAAATTTTTTGATCTTTGCAACCATAGTAAAACAAAGGCTTATATTTTTGATATTTATTTTATATATTTAAATGCCATTTAACCAAGAAAAGTCAACCAAAAAAATGAGTTCACGTGTCACCTCTGACACACGTGTCATAGGTTCGCCATCACTGCACTAAGGTGAGTTCTCACATACAAAAAAATAAAGTTTATACAGTTTAGTCTGAGTGGAATAGAACTTGCTTAGAGAATTACACGTTGACTAACTTTCAGTTCAAGATGGCAGCCTGAGCATAAGTATCTTTCTTCTTTTTTTTTTGCTTGACACTCTATTAAAATAATAATAAGGAAATAAAATGAGAAATTATATCTGCAGTGGCATAGAGAACCAGAGAGAGACCATCATTAGATTGAGGAAATGGATGGAAGCATGTTGACAAATGGAATGAAGCGCAGTAAACCACGATGCTAAAATAATTGTAGGAGAGAGTTAGAGCAAGGGAGGGACTATCAACCAGGCAGAACCTCTTATCAGTAGGCCTCAGGCTTGAAGTCTGGACCCAGGGAGTGGGAGTGAAATCAGGGGAGCCCAAAATAGGCAAAATAGGAGAGGGCCATTAAAAAGAGCCTGCCCACCAAAGAACTGCATCAAATACCAGCCTGATTCTAAAACAAAAATAAATGAACTGCCTGAGGACTAGACAGGCAGCTGAGCCCTATTCGGTTTGGCTGTGTGGATGGACCTTGGGCCTGTGGACTGAAGGGTCCCAGGTTCGATTCTGGTCAAGGGCACATGCCTGGGTTGCAAGCTCGATCCCCAGTTGGGGGCAATGCAGGAGGCAGCCAATCAATGATTCTCATCATTGATGTTTCTATCTCTCTCTCTCTCCCTCCCTCTCTGAAATCAGTAAAAATATATTTTAAAGGAGGGGGGGCAGCTGAGTTAGCATGGTCGGGGGGGGGGGGGGGCACCCAACCCACCTAAAGTCCAGTCCTACCTGCTTATTCTAAAGCAAACCTGATGACTGGATATCCCCATTCAGGGAAGGAATTTGGGGGAACATAGACCTGGATATAAAATAACAGAGGAAGTCCACTAAATAGTTTAACCTGGTGCCTGAAGATTAAATATAAATGGACAGTCAAGAGAAAGACCAAATAGAGTATTTGACCCTGGGGATAGAGATAGCTAAGTAAGTAGGCAGTAGCTTTGGGGAGAAGGGAGAGGACACTTTTAATTAGTATCTTCACAAAGACTTCAATAATAATAGAATGTTTCAGGGAAGAAAAAAATGACAGAAAGAACTATAAAATTTTTTAAATGATTGACAGTAAATTTAGTGGAAAGGTTGGAAGATGAAGTCTAGAAAATCTAAGACCTGAGCAAAAAAAATATAGAAGATTTATTCTTAGGAAATATGAAATCTGACAAATAAAATTTTTGAAATAGAAAATAGAGGGAATTATTAAACCAATGATAAAGGAAATTTCCCAGAGCGGAAAAGGCAAAGGCCTTCAGATTAAAATGCCCACTGAATACCAAATCAAATGCTTTATGAGATGTAAGAATACCAAGAATAAAAATTTTTAAAAAAAGAAAAGAACTAAAAACAAAAGTAAAAAGAATGAAACAAAAGAATACCAAGAATAAGAAAAATATTAAAGAATACCAAGAGTAAAGAGATATTAGGGAGGAAAATTTTCTCTACACTTAGGTATAGTAGTGGGCGGGGGGGAGCCTACAAATTTAACTTCAAAAGATTTAATCACGTATGTAAGGGAGTTCACAGAAAAATATAACTCTAAGTGTTGGTTAGGCTTTGGGGCTTAAATACCACCTTAAGGGAAGGGGAGAGGGCCACGTAAGGAAAGCAGATGATTTTTTTGAAAGATAAGTCGGCCCTTAGGAGAATAGATGGGAGGGAGATATGGTGTTTTTGTTTTTTGTGGGGGTTTTTGTGACCGTGTCCGTTTAGATGTGGATCTTCAATGATAAGCATCAGTCATCCCTGGTTGTTCCCAGGAAGGGGTTTTATGACAGTTGATTGAATTCCTGGGGGAGGGTGGGGGGGTCTGTGCTTGAGATTTCTTCTGCTCAGTAATTTTTATGTCACTGGCTTATTCTGGACCTCTTTATTGATGATCCTGAATGTTTTGGAAAGTAAAATCAGAAACCAAAACCAAACTGGCATCAGATTAATATCAGCAACTCTGGAGACTAGAAGGCAGAGAAAGTGAGGCACATCATAAGATCCCATAAACACAGGAACTGACTGAGGGGTCCGGTGAGAAGAAATCCCAGAAACAAAGCTATGCAGCCCATCCAATGAGCAGGTTGTGCCCATTGTAACAAGGTCAAGAAAAATCTGTCCCAAATAGTATAAAGAATAAGAAATGAAATATTTTTTAAAATACATTTTTATTGATTTCAGAGGGAAAGAGAGATAGAAACATAAATGATGAGGATCATTTGATCGGCTGCCTCCTGCCTGCCCCTACTGGGGATGGAGCCTGCAACCCGGGCAATGCCCTGACCAGGAATTGAGCCTTAACCTTCTAGTTCATAGAACAATGCTCGACCACTGAACCACAGTAGCTGAGCTTTTAAAAAATATATTTATTCATTTTAATCTTCACCTGGGGATATTTATTTGATTTTTTAAATATGTTTTTATTTCAGAGAGGAAGGGAGAGGGAGAGAGAGAATCATTGATTGGCTGCTTCCTGCACACCCCATCCTAGGGATCGAGCCCACAACCTGGGCATGTGCCCTTGACTAGAATCGAACCTGGGACCCTTCAGTCTGCATGCCAACTCTATCCATTAAGCCAAACCAGTTAGGACTCTTTTTTCTTTCTTTTTTAAGAGAGAGAGTGAGGCTAGGTGGGAGAGGGTGAGAGAGAAAGGGAGAAACATCAGTGTGAAGGAGACACATGGGTTGGTTGCCTCCTATATGTGCCCCAACTGGGGCCAGGGATCAAACCTGCAATCGTGGTACACGCCCTTGACTCTGCGACCTTTTGGTGTGCGGGGCCAACACTCTAACCATTTAGCAACACTGGCCAGGGTAGAAATGAAATATTTCATTGATGGCAGTGAAGAACACAAATGTTACTTCTCCCCAAAAAGGGAGAAAGGGGCTTAGAAACTCCAGGGGAAAGATTATACAGGAGAGCTAAGGTTATGTGTAAAACAAAGGAAATTGTCACATGATTTTGAGTAATTGATAAAATCTACAAAAAAAATAACCCATTTGCCTGAATGCAGTAAACATCCTCCTTAGGGTTGCACAAGAGTCACAGCATTCCAAGTGGGGAAGGAAACTTATTAACTGTTGATTCTCTACAACACTTGGCGTCAACATATAGACTTAAACATGGTTAGAGAACAGGACCGGATGTATATGTTCATCTTGATATAAAAGCAAAGTACATAAATAAATAAAAATAAAAGAAGGGAGTACACAGAAGGTTTGAAATGCTAATTTACATACAGGGGAGGAAGAGTGGTTAAAAGTTCTATCTAAACTTACAAAAATCTTGAATAGATGAACCAGTATTATAGCAAAATCTGGGGCAGGGTAAAGTGAAGGGGGTGGCATAAATGAGATGAAGCCTCCCTTTCATAGTTGGGGGTTCATTAGGTAAATGTCGGGTGGTGACTGGCTAGAGCAGGGGTGGGGAGGCCCTTTTTCTGCCAAGGGCCCTTTGAATATTTATAACATCATTTGAGGGCCATTCAAAATTATCAGCTTAAAAATTAGCCTGCTCTATTTGGTCAAACATTTAATTAACTCACCCCTAATGCCTTGGCAGGGCCAGACCAAATGATTCTGTGTGCCTTGTACGGAGCAGGCCAGATGTTCCCCACCCTGGGCTAGAGGAATGACAACAAGGGTTGGGGTTCCTGTGGAGGTAACCACAAGAGCCGAAAACAAAAGCTGTTTAAAAAGTGAATGCCTCAGAAAGGGGAAGTGAGACAGGAGGGGAGGGTGGGGCCCAGGCATGTTGCTTTTAATTATAAACCCTTCTGTACTATAGTCCCTTTTCCCCAGATATTCACTTAATTAAATACATAAACAATTAAGCGGTTCATTCATTTTAAAAAATCCGAAGCCTGGATTGGAGTAGGAGGAGGGTTTGCTCAGTTTCTCCTGACTGGCTCAGTCCTCAGGACAGCAGCAGCTTCAGTGCTAGTCTTCCCTTTCAGGACCCTTGCCTTCTCATTTGGACCTTTTTCAGGGGAACAAAGGATTGCAGATAAAACAATTTATTGTAAGAGTTATACACGAGCCCTAGCTGGTTTGGCTCAGTGGATAGAGCGTTGGCCTGTGGACTAAAAGGTCCCGGGTTCGATTACGGTCAAGGGCGCATGCCCAGATTGGGAGCTCAGTCCCCAGTGCGGGGCGTGCAGGAGACAGCCAATCAATGATTCTCTCTCATCATTGATGTTCCTATCTCTCTCTTCCTCTCCCTTCCTTTCTGAAATCAATTAAAATATTTTTTTAAAAAGTTGTACACGATCACTACATTGCAATATGTAGAAAACCGAAAAAGTACAAATAACTCCAGAAAAAAACTGCTAATATTTTAATGTGTTTGCTCACAATCACATATTTATCATATTGTACATATAATTTAACATTTTTATATAAGAATAGTAAGCATTTTCTTATTTCTTTTTTTTTTATGTATTTTATTGATTTTTTACAGAGAGGAAGGGAGAGGGATAGAGAGTTAGAAACATCGATGAGAGAGAAACATCGATCAGCTGCCTCCTGTACATCTCCCACTGGGGATGTGCCCGCAACCCGGGTACATGCCCCTGACCGGAATCGAACCTGGGACCTTTCAGTCCGCAGGCTGACCCTCTATCCACTGAGCCAAACCGGTTTCGGCTCTTATTTCTTATTTTAAAGTAATTTTTAATAATTTATATTTTGTCATGGTAATGATATATTCCATTTATCCAGACCTGCCCACAAATGACCTCTATTAGAGGGTTATGATGTGCCTACATTTACTAATCTAACTTTTTTCCCTTCTCACCAGGGAGTAAGAGTGCAAAAATTCAATCGGGGATATTTGGAAAGGGGTCTACATATTCACGACACAATGCTGAGAGACTTTTTAAAAAGCTGATACTCGACAAGATCTTAGATGAAGACTTATTTATCAATGCCAATGACCAACCCATTGCCTATGTGATGCTCGGAAGTAAAGCGCAAGTGTTACTAAATGGGCATTTAAAGGTATGGCGTTTTAAATGTTTTGTTTCATTGTATTATTTCACAGGGAGTAGACAGAAACATATTACTCTCTTTTCCAAAGCTTATGGATACTGGATGTATTTGTACTATCTTATATGAACATACTATGTTCCTCTTAATTTGCAAAGAGACTTTAACATGGAACCCAAGTAATGCAATACTTATCAAAGTGAATTTAATGGGTTATCAGATCACTAAATCACCATGTATTTACTAAACAAACATTTGTCAAGAAGTAGTTCTGCCAAAACCGGTTTGGCTCAGTGGATAGAGCATCGGCCTGCAGACTGAAAGGTCCCAGGTTCGATTCCAGTCAAGGGCATGTACCCGGGTTGCGGGCACATCCCCAGTAGGAGATGTGCAGGAGGCAGCTGATCGATGTTTCTCTCTCATTGATGTTTCTAACTATCTATCTCTCTCCCTTCCTCTCTGTAAAAAATCAGTAAAATATATATTTTAAAAAAAAAAAAAGAAGTAGTTCTGTGCTAGGCACTGGGGACACAAAGATGGAGAATGCACAGCCCCTGTTCCCAAAGGGCTTACTATCCACTTGGCATAAAAGAAGAAACTCCTGAAAATGCAGTGAAGCATTAAATAAAGCCCCTATTTTGATGCAAGTGTGCACACGCACACACTCCTATGATTTCTCTCTCTCTCTCCCCCCTAACTCAAAGGTAGACTTTATGGAGACGGAAAATTCCAGCCGTATCAAAAAACAAAAAGCCTTAGTGACGAAGGTTTCCCAGAGGGAAGAGGTTGTTAAGAAATGTCTTGGAGAACTTACGGAAGTGTGCAAATCTCTGGGGAAAGTTTTTGGTGTCCATTACTTCAATATCTTCAACACTGTCACTCTCAAGAAGCTTGCAGGTAGGTGTGTATGAGCCTTCTGTTTCATGGCATCAATTAATAGGCCCAAGGTCAGTCTCGCTAAGGAACTTTTTTAAGTGCATAAATGTATCTCAGGCTTTTGTATTATTTTTATTTAATCTCTAAAAGCTCAGAGAAGCCGTTTAAACTTATTCTTGAGATACTTTCCTCCAATGCTGGATGTTAGAATATGGATAATTGCAGTCTCTAATACCAGATGTTACTTAATGATTATGTGTCCATTTGTGCCTGCCTTTATGAAATTTAGCTATGTTATTATAATGATGTATTTGCAATGAGGAGCTAAGTTCCTTATGAAAAGAGATGATGTGTTATGCTTCTTTGAATCCAGATCAAGCACTCTTCTGTGTCTTCAGTTAATAAATGCTCTGAGTTATTGCCAAGGCTTCAGATAGCTCAACCAGAATTCTAATAGTAAAGTCCTTGGAAAATAAGTTGTTACATAGGCGACTAACTAGTAATGTACATTACCTTCCTAAAGTCCCATCATCCTCACCTTCTCTCTTCTCCATTCCCATTCCCAGCACCATAGATCATTATAGTACTTCATCAACTCCAAGATGCCATCTACTTTAAGTCTGTTATGTTATGAACTAGTAAGAAAGAAAAAATTCTGCTAATTAAACTGTAACATGGTGCTTTTGTTGAAAATTATTTTGACTTACTCTGCTTGTACATGAAAAATGCATAAAATTAAAGTGAGCTGATTTAGGTACTTGTAAAAATTCACATTCAAAGCCTGACTCTTCCAAATGATTTTTGAGTCAGTTTTCCATATCTTTGTTTTCCCACGTGTCATTGAGAATGTTAGTGACAACAGCCTTCTTTAGTGTGTTCCATTATTTTCCCATCACTCATTCTGGTTTGGTGGCCGTGTTTTCTTGACGATACCACAGACTGCCAACAGAAGGCTGGACGTCTCTCAGTGGCACAAAGGTAGCGCTTCATCCACTCTCGGCATCTTCTCTTTTAAGCCGTGGGAAGCATTGGTCGTGGTCTGCAAGAAACTAGAAAGTTGTGGTCATTTTCTCAAAAAGAGATATTTCTTTATCAGTGCCAAATGTATCCCCCATTAGTCCGTTTCTGGGGTTTTCTGCATTCACAATCACCTTTTCAGCACTAATCACAGTCTAGTTGTTTTGTAGACATTTTCTGTGGCACGTGAGGAACCAGCCCTGCAGTCACGCTGTGGCCGTGCCAGCAGTGCCAATGGCTGTGACTAAGTTCTCGCGTGCACAGGCGGCAGCAGCCGCAGCACAGCTACCATTCGACCGTCAGCACTTGTAAGACCTCAGCAGTCAAACCGTGACTAAGTGTCTTAGAGTTGATGAAATACAGTATTTTGTTCCTAGGCTCTTAGTGTAGTTTTCTAACTGGCCTCCTTAACTCCAGATATGAACATGATGTACATTTTAATCTTTCAAAACCTCTGTTAAAATGCCAACAGCTCTCCAGATAAAGTACAAAGTCTATCGGGGATCTGCATTTCTACTTGCCTTTCCCACTTCGTCTTCCACTAACTCCCTCCGTAAACCTTCTAGTCTGTCCCAAAGGTCTGTTCCTTCTCCTCTAAACATAGAAATGATGTGAAAATCAAAGATTTGAAATCCACCCTTTGCTGAAGTCTATATAGGAATTATTACTCCCTCACTCCCACAGCCAGTGCATCAATGACTCCTACAGACCAGCCTCCCAAACGCATCCAAATCCATCTCTTTTTCTTCTCTACTGCTACATCCTCACTGGCTCCCACTGGGCTCCGAGTTTCTGCTCTTTCCCTTATAATCCGTTTTCCATACAGCAGCTAGGGTGATCTTTAAAATGACGGGCTTGACCGGCTATGAGACCCATGTACCATCTGTGTGCAGAGGACTCAACAGCCTACTTGTTAAAGTCAGATTTCCCGCTTCACCCCACAGACAGAAAGACTAAAGGAAGAATGGGTTCGGGTTGGGGGTGTGTAACATTTCAGTTACGGGCCCAGCTGTTTTGGCTCAGTGGATAGAACGTCGGCCTGCAGAATGAAGGGTCCCAGGTTCGATTCTGGTCAAGGGCACATGCCCGGGTTGCAGGCTCGATCCCCAGTAGGGGGCGTGCAGGAGGCAGCCGATCAATGACTGTCATCATTGATGTTTCTAGCTCTCTCCCTCTCCCTTCCTCTCTGCAATTAATAAAAATATATTTTTTAAAAAAATTCTTGTTTAAAAAAAAAGAATTCAGTTACGGTCTTTTTGAGTTGGACGTACAAGTCTGGAGTGCACGGGAGAAGTCAGAGCTGGAAACATGACTGTGGACATTCTCCTAAATAGTCTTTATTGTGCGAAGACAGCAAAGTCTGCTTAAACTCTGAGGCACAGCGCACAGGTCCTCTCCGGTTACCCCGGTTACTCCATGTCTGTTGATCTCCCTCCCTCTCAGCCCTGACTTAACACACCTTTGCTGCTGGAATTGGAGGATGGGCTCCTACCCTCTGGGCCTGTCTGCTGCCTCTGTTGGCACCAGCTGCCTTGCAGAAAATTGGCCCATGTGCCCAGCGCTCTGCACTTGGTTGGCACGTAACAGGCATGTGCCGAATGGGTGAATGAGCACAAGTTCAGTGGGTTTTCTGTTGGTGGTAATTTAAATTCCTGCTTTTATGTTCATGCTCAGAGTCGCTATCTTCTGATCCTGAGGTTTTGCTTCAAATTGATGGTGTTACTGAAGATAAACTGGAAAAATACGGTGCCGAAGTGATTCCAATATTACAGAAATACGCCGAGTGGACACTGCCAGGTTCAGTATACAGCCAGATATGTGTTTTCTGAAAGCCTGTCTTAATGTTAAGCGATGCATCTCACTGGATTAAATCTCTGGTTTCCGGGAGTGTTCATGCTTCCGACACCTTGTCACCCTGACGCTCAAGTGCTCAGGGCACCCTTCAGTGGCGTGCCAGCCACCTCTTGCAGGACATCCTGCGGGATGCCAGCTACCAATCCTGCTACTAGGACCCAAAGGAGGACCTTTGAGCCCAGAAGTTGCTGGTTCTGTTCAGGCAAATACCTGGGGAATCCATAGGGCTGGTGCAGCTCCCGGGCCTGCCACCATCTCGCTCTGTGGTCCTTGGCAGGCCACAAATAACTTCTTTGTGCTTCAGTTTCCTTATCTGAGGAAGGAACATGTTATCTGAAAAGCATGTCTAAAGATAAAATGTAAGAGAGGAGTTTAAATATTTTGGAAAAATGAACATGGAATTGAAGTGCTAGATTATCTTATTGTTGTTAGCTGTCGAAAGAATCTGTCCGAGTCAGTGCAGCATGAGCAGATGTTCCCAAGGTTGCATTAGGCCTGTCACGAAGCATCTCTAATTACAAACCCCATCGCTACTGAGCCATAGAAAGCACTGGCTAAGAGGACATTGAGAGCACAGGAAGATGTAGGAGACGGGACACGTGCAGAAGTCCTCTAGCATACCTCCATGTGATGAGACACAACAGGCCAAGTTCAATGTTTTTCCTGTTTCTGTAAGGATCTCGGTGGGGTTTCTTTTCTAGGCTAATGGAAATGGTAAACAGGCTGAGAAACAAGTGAGCATGTGCTTCAAGTTCTGTCTGTTCATTATCGGTTTTATTCATTAACAAAATGCTGCAAAGGAAGGTTTTCATACATTCCTCAGTACAGTCATTACTCCACTAAAGGCCTTAGACGATTGTCACAGTCCCTTGGTCGGAACCTCATGTTTGTTTACCATGGTAACTTGTTGGGGAGGGTTTTTCCCACATGAGACAGGGCTGCTCTGTGGAAGCAGCCAGCCTGGTGATAATTGCTGCCACTATTGAGGGACAGGCTCTGTGCCAAGAGCTTTGTCTATTTTGTATCACTCAGTCCTCACAACACCCATTTCACAGGTGGAAATGGGTGAGGCCTTTTCATATCCCCAAAGTCCCACAGCTGGGATGACAGCGCTCTTTGCCCCAGCTACAGGGCCTTTCTGTGGGAACCAGTGTTGGAGGGACAAGGCCCGTCCTGTCCTTTCTCCGGGCAGCAGGGTAGCCTGAGGGTGAACCAAACCGGCCAGGAAATACCTCCCTTCAGAAAATGGAGGAATGAATTTATCTGGGAAGGTTTCATGTTCCTTCCCTGTGTTGGGATGCCAGTACCTGTGGAAGTTACCATCTTCTTTAAGTGTGTGCTGCCATACAGACCCATTTCCTGCATGGTGTGTGAAATGTGCCAAAATATGCAAAGAGGTTTTTTTGTCTTTGAAGAGTAAAATATGGCCTGGAAGTTTCTGACACTCATTTACTAAATAACTGATGTTCAGAAGTAAGGTACATAGTTTATGTTTCTCTTATATCGGGTTATTTTTTCAGCATATGTAAATTGACAAATAAAATTTATCTTTTATGTAGCACATTATACTTTTAAAAGTGCTTAACAGGATTAACTGTCCAAATAGTAACGGGCGTAGGTCATACACATAGAGTAGGAACTAAACCTGAAGTCTCTAGTTGAGTTAAAGAGAATCACAGATTTTTTTTTTTTTAATATATATTTTTCTTGATTTCAAAGAGGAAAGGAGGGGAGAGAGAGATAGAAACATCAATGATGAGAGAGAATCATTGATCAGCTACCTTCTGCACGCCCCACACTAGGGATCAAGCTTGCAACCTGGGCATATGCCCCAACCAGGAATCGAACTGTGACCTCCTGGTTCATAGGTCGATGCTCAACCACAGCCACACTGGCCAGGCTCACAGATTTTTTTTTTTTTTTTTTTTTAATGAATTCTTAGCCTCTGTCTTTAAAAAAATTAATTGCCATTGAGCACTTTGGGGCTTTGTGGAAAAAAAAAAAAGTTCAGATCCTGCGGAATTGTCAAACCAGGTGGCAAGAAGACACCAGGAAAGCAGGTAGGTGTCAGCTGAACTGCGTGTGTTGTGCGTCTCCGTGTAAACGAACGACGTTGGGACCAGCAGGCATCACCAGTAAATGTCTGCGTTGTCCGTTTGCAGTTGAGGACAGCTCCCCACAGATGAGCCCATCCAGCAGCAGAAGCGCTAGGAATGGCTCGGAGGAGTGTGATGAGGAAACACCTATATCCTCTCACTACTTTGCAAATAAAACCAAAAATGAAAGAAAGCGGAAAAGGATGCCAGCCTGCCAAAGGTCTAAAAGGAGAAGAACTGGTGTTGGTGATTTCAAGACAAAAGGGTAAGTTCTGCAACCTAGGGTATAAGGGAGAAAAGTATAAAAGTGCAACTGCTTTGGTTTTCTTTGAATCATTTATTAAAATAAACCATAAGTGTTGCTTGATTCAACATTTGCTTTAGCTTTCATTTTATGTATTTATTTTTTAACATATTTTTATTGATTTCAGAGAGGAAAGGAGAGGGAGAGAAAGATAGAAACATCAATGATGAGAGAGAATCATTGATCGGCTGCCTCCTGCACGCCCCTGACTGAGGATCGAGCCAGCAACCTGGGCATGTGCCCAAATTGGGAATCAAACCGCAACCTCCTGGTTCATAGGTCAACACTTAACCACTGAGCGTGCTGGCCGGGCTGCTTCAGTTTTTAAAAATAATCTACTCCTAAGTTGATTATCACTAAAATTTTCTAGTTTGTAAAAACTCCAATTTTGACTTAGAAAAAATTTTTTTTATAATTGCTCTTCTTAAGAGTCTTTTCCACCTAAAATACTATAAATCATATACTAGCTGAATAAACAGAAGCTTTTGTTTCCTCCTTACTTTTATGATTCTGTCAGTACTTGCTGTACTAGTATTGCCGCAGATCTGCAGGCCTCCACACTCCCTGCCATTCATCCAAACCTGGGAAAGCCACCCTCCCAGTCTGCAGGGCAGCAGGGAAGCGTCCACAACAGGAAAATCAAAAGCTCAGGCAAGCCAGGCTCCGAGAGACTGCGCAAATGGCTTCCATCCTTCCTTTCCTACACGTGCCTACCCCCGGGCTGGGACTCACCTGCTGTGGGCGCTGTTAGCACGCCCAGGGGGAACAAAGGTAGTATTGTCAGGTGCTGGGTGATGATCTGGGCAGCGTTCGTATTTCTTCATCATTGCACTGCTTCACACAGCCCCTCTCCCTGTCTTCTGCAAGGACACTCTCTGTCCTCACCAGGAAAGTAAGGTCTGGCAGGATCGTGACCATTCCAGCAGCCTGGATGCCCGCCTCCCAGATAACTGCATATTGTCACAGAGATGCTTACAGAAAAGGGAAAGAAGTCCATAGTAAATTTCTGCAAGCTGTTGTGTTTTTTTCTTTTGCAGTTTTTTGTAACTCTCTTCCTTCTGGGTAATAAAAAAATTTTTTTTGAGTGAAGGAAGAAAGGGGAAGGCAAATGTTACCAAATTGTCACTTTCTTGTTAAGTCCATAAACAAACATCTTGCATGTGCTAATTCTTCTGCCAGGATACAGAAATTAAAAGCATTAGTAAATGTTAGTTTAATTTTGTGGTTTTTAATGCTCAAGTGACCAGCAGATGTTCTTCGGTGGGGACATTTTATTTTCTTCATTTATTCCTTCGTTTTGGGAAATAGTCATTTCCTCAGGAGCCCACACAGAGTAAGAGTCCTTAAAAGGCATGGGGCCCAGTCCCCTGGAGGTTATGATGAGGAAACTAAGGCCTGGCCTGGGGAGGGAACTTCTGCAAGGTTGAACCAGCCTGGTCTCAATCTTACAGCTACGACGTGGACAGTGGCTCGCCCACACCTGCCCAGAGCATTATTTTTTTTTAATCCTAACCCGAGGATATTTTTCCATTGATTTTTTTAGAGAGAGTGGAAGAGAGAGGGAAAGACAGAAAGAAATATCAATGTGAGAGAAATACATTGACTGGTTGCCTCCTGCACCAAACTGCAGGAGCCCAGACCAGGGTCCGGCCGGAGAGGACCTGCAACTGAGGTACATGCCCTTGACCAGAATCGAACCTGGGACTTCTTGGTTCTCAGGCTGACACTCTATCCACTGTACCAAACCAGCGAGGGCCCAGAGCTTTTTCATTTCTGCATGTAGTCCCTGGAAAGTCCTTAGCCATGGCTATGATTTCATTTTTACTTGTTAGAACAAAGCAAACCATATTTTAAGTGTTCATTGCCATTGGCTCCCTTATTCCGTTTTCACAGCTTTTGTCTGTAAGAGGGAAGCACTTTGCCCTGTGGCCTAGAACCTGATCTAACCAGAAGTCGGAAAGCTCAGTCCCAAAGCCAGTCCCAGTTTTGATGCTGGTTTTTAATGGGCCTGTGTGTCTCTGATGGGATTCTTCTCTGATCCCTGCGCCTAAAACCAGTCCGTTTTGTGACTTTCTTTTACCTTTGTCACAGCCGCTTTGTGTCTGTGCTTCATTCTCCTCGTTTCCCCAGAGCCTCTCTGAAAGATTCCTCCGGTTCCACTGCTCACCTGGTTGAGAGTCTGCACAATGGCAGAACAAACATGGCTCTTTGCCAGGGTCCTTACCTCTCCACCCTACCGGAACCTTACCACTTGGGAATAACACACAATGAACGAATTTTGTTCCCAAGTTGTGTTGCCAGCTCTCTAAGTGGGAGTAAAATGGATGGCCTGGGTGAGATGGAGGCTGCTGTTGGCAGATTCATTCTGTAAATCAACAGAAACAGCAGGTTTTTGCTCTGGACTCAGTATCTCAGCAGGAAATCTGCATAGGGAAATTCAGGCTGCTGCTCGCAGGGTTAGCACATCTTTGCCAGTTCTGTGGTCATACTGCCCTGGAGCAAGAGTTGAACAATGTTGAAAAACCACTCTTGACCTAGTCCCACCAGAATGTCATTACCACAGACCAGTGGCCCCCGAATTCAGAGATGGGAGGCCACTTGCCAGCCCCAATGCTGTGGAATTCGTGTTGGGCATGAATTCAGCCTGGTTACAAAGCAGCAGGAAATACTTGTGTAAGAAAAAGGCTTCTATAGAGAATGCTGCCGGCTGTTATCCTTGTAAACATACGGCCCTGTGGGGTTTTATTTATTTATTTATTTTACATTTTATTGGGGGTGGAAAGGAGGAAAGAATAGCTATTACCTTCAGGCCAGTGAGGGAAGTGAAGTGCTTGAAGGACTTTGTGATAGGCTGTGGCAAGGGCTTCTTCCCTGACTGTAAAGGCAGCGAGTGGGAGGTACAAGAACACAGCCCTGGGAGTGCAGGCAATCCAGCAAGCTGCCGGCGACGTGGCGGTGACAGAGACGCGCCAGACCCGAGCCCTCGCAGGCCTCCCCCGGGAACCACATCTGCAGCCTTCCCCTGGCTGGAGCTGGGCAGGAAGAGGCTCAGCTCTGCTCCGCCCCCTTCTCCGTGCACGCAGCCACCTTCTCTGGACTGTGCAAGCACAGTCATTCCAGAGTATTGTCCAGGCATTTGGGGCCTTAAAACAAGGTGCCCATGCTTTATTCGATTAGAGTAGATCTGGGCTCTGTTGTCCCAAGGGAGGGGTCCGATTATCAGCTATGAAAGGTGTAGGTGGAGCGAAGGCACATGATTTGGCCTCAAGTCACAGAATTCAGGAACAGTCCTTGACATTTTAGGGAGATAAATTCGTCTGAAGAACAGCAGTCCTTTCCTCCTTGAATTGCAAAGGAAGCTGACCTTACCCAGGGGGGTTACAGGCAGAGAAACAGGTCAGACCAAAGAAAACCATGGGTTATGTAGCTCTTTCAGGTTAAGAGGAAAAAATGACTGTTTTGGGGGGTTTTATATAACATTTCAATTTTCTTTGTCACATTTTAGGAGATCCACCACGTGCAGAAGGATATCTCCTAAAACTAAATCCTCCAGCATCCCCGGGCCAACATCAACTGCACGTGGTTCTCAGGCGGCAGCAGGAATCAGTAGAAAATTGGGGATTATGGCTCCACCAAAGCCTGTGAACAGACAGTTCCTCAGGCCGACATATGCATTTTCCTAACAACCAAATCTCAATGTACAGCGATCTTGTTTCTTGTTTGTCAGCATCTGACCATCTGTGAATATAAAGCTGTTACTTTTGTTATGCCATTTGTAATTTTTACCCGTATCTATTAATGCTTAAATAAATGCTTGGGGTGACAGTTCTATTTTTAAAGTAAACATTTTCTTTTGAATAAGCATGATTTGCTGCCACTGCAAGCCTTGTGGCTGCTGATTCTGAGAATGTCTGAAGCAGCAGCTGAATCATCTCAGTGAGAGAAATTCCAAGCACGCGTGAAACACAGAAGCTGAAGGAAAAGACACGCATGGGACGTTGTAAAACTGTCTGTAGAAGGCGTAAGCAAAATTAGAAGACAGGCAGAAAATAGGGGGGAAAATATGACAAAGGAGTAATATCTGCAATATACAAAGAGCACCTATAAATCATTAAGAAAAGACAGACCAGTAGAAAAAAGGGTGTGAATAGGCTCTTCTCAGAAGAAGAAATAAAAACGGCCCACAAACATGTGGAAAACACTCAATGTGCCTCGTTAAAAATATGAAGTAACACAGTGAGGTGCCATTTCGTTTTGCCCATCGAATTGTCAGCGCTGAATAATATCCCAACATCTGGGAACAACAAGAAAACGGTCAGACACTCTGTTGGTGAGAATATGTTCAAAGTCGGTGTCATCCTTCGGTACTAGGGGGCCTTACCCTATAAGACCCTTCACGAATAGGCTGGTTGGACAGAAAGTCTTAAAGTAGAATTTGGGCACCTCTTATTGGAGCTCCCGTTTTTGGAGAAATCTTGTTTCTGAGCTGTAAGGAACTTTGGTGTCCCACTTCTTGACCTCAGTCAAGAGGGTAGAGCTGGGGAGGTCCTGGCTGGGCCACAGGTGTTAAGGACAGAGTGGCCTCCGCCTGGAGACTGGGTATGGGGGTAGACCCTGCTCCCACTCTAAGGGACCACCCTTGGAGCTACACACCTACTGACTGCCGCCTGGGACCTTAGTGTGACGCATGTAACGGAGGAGACTGGCTGGACAGGAGTCCGCTGGGGGCTGTGCGCTGTTACCTCTGGGTGCCTCCCAGAGCTGACGTTTTTCGAGAAACCAACCTTCCAGCAAGTCCTGGCAAGTGGCCAGAGAACCTTCTTGGAGTGAGGAAAGGAAATGGAGGGCAGAGTAGCCAGTAGACGAGGCTGCTGGGACAGTGCCCCCCCGGTGAGGCCACCGTGCAGAGTTGGCAGTGCCCAAGGACATCTGGCAGGAGGTCAGACCCTTCCACCGACAGGAGTGCTGGCTTTGAGGGATCAGGCAGCCCCTGCACAGAGCTGGTGTCACAGATGTTGAGTCACTCCCCGGCTCTGACCTCATTCGTTCGTTCCTGAATTGAGGACCTATCTGCCGGGACAGTGGAGACTGCTAGCCCCTCAGGAGTGTCCACTCCGCTTCTAGGGGCTCCCAGGCAACAGGAAGATGGGTAAAGGCAGTGCCATGGGAGCCCCAAGTGACAGAGTGTAGAAGCTTTGAGCAGCCAGCACTGTCACCTCTATCTTTTATCATATCCCCGAGGCTAGAGCTAACTCATCCCCACCCTCCAGCAGGAATCTGAGGCCTGGAGACCTTTGACCTTTGACCAGAATCAAATGGCAGAGCCAAGTCCAACACCCAGCTCTTTTTAAAAATTTCTGGGTTGGAACAGGCTCTTCAGTTCCTGCGGGCACAGAAAATACAGATCCCCTGGAGAACGTGTCTGCGTCCACTCCGGGCAATCGCAGGAAGACCGACGCGCACTGCCTTGCCCCGACCAAAACCCGGGCCTCTGGCAACCCCAAAGATGGTGACCGCAAAGCCGCTCCAGGCTGGGCCCTGGTCAGGGCCCTCTATGGGTGCAGAGGTCACCACCTGGGAAGAGAGGCGGGGCCAAGTCCACCCGGGGCTTCCAGCCGAGGGCGGTTCACTGGCCCACCCTCCTCATCCCTCTGGAACTCACTGGGAGGACTGGAATCTGACTCCAGCTACATACACCCTCTCCCACCACAGCAACTCACTCTCGAGAGTTGACAGGTCCTTGCTTTTAACCCCAGGGACGGGGGACCCACTGCCTCACGGGAAGAGGAGAAACATGGAGAGCCTACTCCATGCCAAGGGCTGTTCTAGGAACTTCCACATAATTTACTCTTTTTATCCCTTCCCCTCACCCCCCAACAGCTCTGGGAGGCAAGCACAGGATAGTGGCCTTTTTGGGGGTTTTCTTGCAAAAAATTCAGAGAGGTTATGTAATGGGCCATGCCCACACAGCTAGGAAGCAGTAGTAAGTAGGGTGACCTACATCCCGGTTTGCCCTGAAATGTCCCAGTTTACATCTGCTGCCCTGGTGTAACAGTTAAGGCAGGGCCTTTTCATTCTCGGAAGTCCTCAGTTTGGACAATATAAAGAATCCAAGCCAACCTCCTCTCCCACCCCCATTTTCCCATCCAGAGCCCCAGGGGCCCTCTGCTCAGCACTGTAGGCCCCTGGGGCAAGCTTCAGAATTCTCCCGCCCAGCTGAGCTGCGGTTTTTCCCCAGAAGAGGAAGCAGGGGCTGTGGTCCAGGTCCCCTTGCTCTTAAGAAACTGCTGCTTCTCCTCCCACAGCTGGGAGCTGCTCAGAGGCCTGCCCTGTCCTTGGGAGGCTCCCCGAGTCCTAGCACGGACTCTCCAGCTCTAAGCAGCAGCCATGGGGTTCACCGAGCCCCGGGCTCCGGGACCCCTCCATGGCGGCCAGGGTGGAATCCACTAGATGCTCCTCCGTGCAGCAGCCGCGGCCTCTTGTGGCCTCACAGGGTTCAGAGAGGCCGGCTAGTGGGATGTCCTCGGAGACCCACTAGCTGAGCCGGCCCCGCTAAGGGCTCCAGGCCCTGGGCTCAGCCCTTGGTTGCTGCAAGGCAAAGATTCCATTTCTGCATCTGGGCAGGGCAGCACCACGGTCGCTAGGATAAAGTTAGCCTTTAGAAAGCCCTCATTTCCCTGCTCTTCCCAGCCCACAACAGCTGTCCTCTGTGAGACCCATGCTCTCTGTTGGCAGGAGAGGAAGGAGGGAGGGGACAAACTCCCAGTCACTGCAGAGAGGACAGGACAAGAAGGTAGAACCCCCAGGAGAGGAGGCGCCCCCCAGGCAGGGATGAGGGCCAGAGGCTGGGTCCCGTGTCCTGCAGGTGTGGCAGGTGGGGTGTTGGCATCATCACAGCTTGGTCCTACCTCCCACAGAAGATTTAGTGACCTGATGGCCCCTAGGTCTAGACCTGTTCAGGATGCAGTTCAGCCCCGCTGTCTGTCCCTGTGGGTCCCCACACAGGCCACAGACATCCCTCAGTCTGCCCTGGGCCCCCATACTCAGTCTCTGCCAGAAGCCTTGAGGCCCCTCGATGGTCAGACCCCGGTGGAGCTCGCAGGTCCCTGCCTCCCATGGGGACCCTTCGTGGGACAGAACAGCCATGAACCTCAGTGGTGACCTTCACTGCAGTCAGAGAGGAGCTGAAGAGCTTCTGTTAACAGACTTTGAAATCTCCACCTGCCCTTGCTGGTCTGACTCAGTGAATAGAGCGTCGGCCTGCGGACTGAAGGGTCCCAGGTTCCAGGCTCGATCCCCAGTGTGGGGCGTGCAGGAGGCAGCCGATCGATGATTCTCTCTCCTCATTGATGTTTCTACCTCTCCCTCTCTGAAACCAATTTTTAAAAAAACTTTTTTTTTTTTTTTTTTTTAAAGAAATCTCAACCTGGAAGGAAGCCCTTCTGAGAAACAGACCTATGGCTGGAGTCTCGCTCGCACCCAGCACCCCCAGGCCTTCTCAGCGAGCGGCCGTGAGCCTTTCGTGACCCGGGAGGCAGTAACCCTGTAACCTCAAGACAGAAGCGTGAGTGTCTGCGGCGGCCGTGGTTTAACAGTTCGTGCCAGACACAGGCCGCCCACGTGAGCCCCACTGCGACTCGCCGCCTGCATGACTGCACGCGCGCTGTGAGCAGACACCACGCGCCCTCTGTCCCCAACGTTCCCAGCACCCAGCCCAGCGACCCTGCTCCTTCCGAACTAGCTGAGTGATCTTTGCAAGCTCAGGCCTCTGAGCCTCAATGTCTCATCCGTACAATGAACGTCATGCCAGGTCCCTGCCTCCCAAAGTGGTTGTGGGCACTCTTTTGGCCCATCAACAATTGGTGGCCAGGACACGGAGACCCAGGCATAGCCCTGGTCCTCGGTGAGGTCACAGTCAGCGAGGGCAACAGCCAATGCTCTAACCCCCCGGGAGAAGAACAGAAGCGGTATCGGGGAGTTGGGGTGCAGTGGGAGCCCCCAGTTGAGACCCAGTCCAGTCTGGGAGTTACAGGAAGTGAAGTTGGAGCCTTGAAGAGTGGGGACGAGTTGAGAACAAGAGGAGACTTTAGTCAAAAGGGAAGTGCAGAGATAAAGGGCTGGAGGTAGGAGGGAGCAGGGCCCATGAGGGGACCGCCTAGAGCAGTGGTCGGCAAACTCATTAGTCAACAGAGCCAAATATCAACAGTACAACAATTGAAATTTCTTTTGAGAGCCACATTTTTTAAACTTAAACTATACAGATAGGTACATTGTTATTAACTTAATTAGGGTGCTCCTAAGGCTTAGGAAGAGCCACACTCAAGGGGCCAAAGAGCCGCATGTGGCTCGAGAGCCGCAGTTTGCCGACCACTGGCCTAGGGATTAGGACAGGCTGGAGGGGGCAGATGAGCCTGTGGAATTGCTCCCAGCTGAGGAATGTGGACTGGTCCCCAGGGGAGGCCCCAAAACAGGAGAGACAAGGTCTGATCCGAGCAATTAGAAAAATTGCTCTGACCCAGGGTCACAAAGGGATTGAAGAGGGTGGGGCTGGACGCCTGCAAGCGGGCAGCAGGCTCTCATTTGTCCAGTGGGAGTCCTAGCAGCCTTCAGGGTAACAGGTGACAGGAATGGACAGAGCCCACTGGCCCGGGAGGGGAGGTGGGGGAGGGTGGGGCTGTCTCATGCTTTGAAGACACCCCAAGAGATGATGTTCCTCATCTGAGACCAGCAGTCCCTGTCCCTCCCAGTCAGGGGAACGCTCTTTGCCTGAGTGGGGGGCCCTGCCCCAGGTCCTATCTCAGCCCCCTGGACAGAGAATCTCCTACAATGTATGGAGTGCGCATGCACGCAGTCACTGCCTCCACGCTTGGCAAGTAATTTCTCAACTGCACACTTCCCCCCCCACACCCCAAAGCTAACTCTGTAACAATTTACTTTTTACTTAAGAGCATGTGATGACTGTGCTTCTTATTGACCCGGCAAGTCCCCCACAGCATGTTGTTAGCAGGACATGCCACTGTCCACTGCTGCCACGCAGCCCAGCCGGGACCCCGGTCCGCACGTGGGCTGCAGGGAGGGCCGTGCACACACAGGGCGCTCAGCAGTTATGTCTCATAAAAGACAGCTCCTTAAAAAAAAAAAAAGGCTACAGACAACATGGCTAGTAAAGATTTTATTTGTGACTTTACCTATGGGTGTGTCCGTGTGTGGGGGGGGGGGGCGGGGGAGATATTGCTCACTGAAATATTAACAGCGGTGATTTTTACTTTTCTGAATGGCTTGACTTTTTACAACAAGCTCTGTGTCATTTTTATAATCAGAATAAAGCCACTTGGCCACCTCGGGGACCCTATTCCTGGCAGAAAGCAACACTTCCTCACTTGGCCACCCTCCTCACTGTGAGGGGACAAGTGTCCCGGGTTGGGTCACCTGCCCAGTGACACTGGGGAGCACAGTAGGAACCCTGGCTAAAGGAGAGGGTACTGCACAGGGGAAGTGGGGGCAGCCAGCCTCCAAGGACCCCCACCCACAGGTCCTGCACTTCTTCCACTGGCCTGAGCTGGAATCTGCACTTTGCATTGTGGCCGGGAAGACCCGCCTCACAGCAGTGCCTAACTGCATTTGTTGGATGGTGGGTAGATGAAGGGAACCCCTGACGGCATCTGCCTAGACCCATGGTCGGCAAACCGCAGCTCGCGAGCCACATGCGGCTCTTTGGCCCCTTGAGTGTGGCTCTTCCACAAAATACCACGTGCGGGCGCACACACACAGTGCGATTGAAACTTCGTGGCCCATGCGCAGAAGTCGGCATTTTGTGGAAGAGCCGGTATTTTGTGGAGGAGCCACACTCAAGGGGCCAAAGAGCCGCATGTGGCTCGCGAGCAGCGGTTTGCCGACCACTGGCCTAGACTGTCCTCCCCAGGGGAGGATAGGGGCAGCGCCTGGGGCCTGCTGGGCCTTAGACTCTTGCAGCCCATGTGACAGTGCCAGGCCTGTGGAGCACAGCGGCAGGCTGGTCACTGAAGGCTTCGCCCCATCACCACTTACGTTGGCTTTCCCCAGACAAGTGAACGTGGCCTCAGTATTCACTTAGATTTCCGTGTGTGTGTGTGTGTGTGTGTGTGTTTTGGGTTATCATGTCTTATGCTCAGAAATCCTGATGTCCCCATTTATTCGTTTGGAGGTGCTAAGACTTGCACAACCACCAGCTTTGGTTTCCAGCTCCCTGGCCTCCTTTGTACCTGGCGTCCACTCCTGTGGGGGGAAGGCTTTGGGGGGACCAAGATGCATGCGGGGGTGAAATTCAAACTTCAGTCCTCCCTACCCAGAGCTTCACATTCCCAGCTGAGAGGGCAGAGGCCCAGGCAGTGGCTTTAACAGCTTCGGCGTGACAGGAGGGCCCGGAAAACACAGCTTCGGAGTCAGCAGGCCTGCCGGGGCCCAAGGGCCTGCACGCCCAGCAAGCTCCCTGCCGATGCTGCTGCCCGCCCCACCTCGGCCCACGTGTTCAGAACCACTGGCCTCAGCAGAGAAAGGGAAGCAGGTGTCAGCCCTCAGGGTGAGTGCGAACCTCGGCTTCTGGGAATTCTCGCTTTGGGCCTTGGGAGGTGTCCGCTCCTTCATCCCTGGCTTCCCATGATGGCTAAGCTGCCTCGCTCTGCGGTCGGGCGAGACGGAACTGTCAACAAGGTGTTTCAGGATGTGGAACAGCCTTGCTTGGGGGCGGGTGTGGGGGAGCCGTTTGCAGGGAAGGGTCTGGTGTCAGGAGAAAGCCAGGGCTCCCAAGCCGCCTCCAGCCGCAGTGTGCATCTTAAAGGGACACTCGGCCACAGGAAGCGAGAACAGAGCCTCTGCTCCCAGCAGGCGCTTTGCTGAGTGAACTGGAGGCAGGACCGGTAGGAATGAGTGTAAGCTGACACTTCCCAGGCCTCGCCAGCCTGTGGGGTCACATGGGGTCATCTTACCCCCCCAAATTGGCCTGAGAGTGGAGTTCTGTCTCCCTGCCAGGCCAGGCAAATGCCACATCATGATATCCTTTGAGGACTCCCTGACAGGGGGCGTGGGGTGCCAATGTGTTACAGAGGCTTTCCAGAAAAACATCTTTTTTTTTTTTTTTAATCCTCACCCGAAGATATTTTTCCATTGATTTTTAGGGAGAGTGGAAGAGAGAGGGAAAGACAGAGAGAAACATCCATTTGAGAGCAACACATCAATTGGTTATCTCCTGCATGCGCCCTGATGGGGACCCAGGCCTGGGAGGAGCCTGCAACCGAGGTATGTGCCCTTGACCCGAATCAAACCCTGGACTCTTTGGTCTGCAGGCCTGCACTCTCCACTGAGCCACACCGTCTAGGGCTGGAAACACATGTCTTTTGTGTTTACTTAAAGCCGGCTCTCTACCTAGATCCAATAGGACCCAGCGGCCCAACTGGGAACAAAGTCTCAGAACAGCATGGGGCCAGCCTCCCCCAGCTGTGAGTGTCCCCAGGTCATAGGCAGGAGGACTATGGGTCTGCAGTCAGAGTGCTTGAGAGTAAAGGCCAGTGGAGTTGGCTTACTGTGTGACCTTGAGTAAGTTACTTAACTTCTCTGTTCCTCAGAGATCATAATAGCATAACCCTATGGAATTGGTTATGAGCATTTAACAAGACACTGCATGGTCAGCATGTAGCACAGTGCCTGCCACTCTCCTAGCATAAGCTGTTGTTATTGCGTAGACCCACTCTACATATTAGTTGTTTGTTGCACGCATTTGTGCAGAAGTTGACCCACTCAGTGGGTTCACCATTCTCGAATTCATCCTTTTGTAAGATCCCTCTTAGAAAAAGAAGCCTCCTTCAGGCATGGCCACACCCAGCTCTCAAACCATAATAAGCATCTAGATATCAGAGATTGGCAAATGGTACCCCCTAGCCTAGGAGGTCTCAATCCAGAACCCTGGGTGATCAAAAGATAGGCATGAGAGGGTGTATAAACCCTTAAATTGTATGCACTGGTTTTGTGTGTCTGTGCAGGTTTCTGGAAGAGGGGTCACGGCTTTCATTAAACTGGCTCCACCAGGTTCCCTGGACACTGCAGCCACACCCACAAATACCAGGGCCTTTCCAAAACCAAGACACGGAGCCAAAGATGGGAGCAGCTCAGATCTGCATCTCCTCCCATGAGGGCCAGGCTTTCTCCAAAGTGAGGAGAGAACTTCACACAAGAAAACGGTGAGAGCAGATTAGGAAGTGTACAGCCTCTGGCAAAAATGTGATGACAACTAGCCATAATAACCAACTGTCTGCAATGTTGTCAGGGAGATAAGACTCGCGGATCAGTGAGCGGACCTGCCCCAACACACACCCAGCGAATGGAGTACGTGGCGGGTGGCCATAGAGGCCAAGAATCAGACGTGGGAGGGCGTGTGGAGTCCATAGTGCAGCTCCCGCAAAAAATGGCCAAAGGACCTGCAGAACGGGTGAGTCCAGGCTCTGTCCCTCCTCAGCCACATGAGCCCTGAGCTTCTCTTAGCCTTTCTTTATTCTTTTTTAATGTGTGTGTGTGTGTGTGTGTGTGTGTGTGTATGTACACACTGAGTGGCCAGGTTACTATGACCACCCCATCAGTACTTCATTGATACTTCCAAAAATACTGAATATTAAAAACTTCCTAAGCAAATACTCTCAAGGTTTTATTATTATTTGCATAATTAATTCATTTCATTATATTGATGGGGTGGTCATAATAATTTGGTCACTTTATATATATATATATATATATATATATATATATATATATATAATTGATTTCAGTGAAGAAGGGAAAGGGACAGAGATTGAAACATTAATGAAGAGAGAGAATCACAGATCAGCTGCCTCCTACACGCCCCCTACTGGGGATCAAGCCCACAACCTGGGCATGTGCCCTGACCGGGAATCGAACCTCGACCTCCTGGTTCATAGGTCGACGCTCAACCTCTGAGCCACACTGGCCAGGCAGCCTTGCCCCCCTGTCTGGGAGTCCTCAAAGGATCATATCATGACATGGCATTTGCCCGAGTAAGAGGTGGACCCATTAAGGCAGCAGTTCTCAACCTGTAGGTCGCGACCCCTTTGGTGGTCGAACGACCCTTTCACAGGGGTCGCCCAAGACCATCGTGCATATCAGATATTTACATGATGATTCATCACAGTAGCAACATTACAGTGATGAAGTAGCAACGAAAATAATTGTATGGTTGGGTCACAACATGAGGAACTGTATTTAAAGGGCCAGAAGGTTGAGAACCACTGCATTAAGGGATCCTGTGGGACATTGGTGGCCACGTGGCCTGTCTCCTTCCCCCGGAAGCCCGTGAACCTGGGTGACGTGTTCAGTGTCTGCTGCAGAAGCGGCCTGAGGTCAGTCCAGAGTTCGTACTTCCTCCCCAGCTGCACCGTGTCTGATGGGTCAGGTTAGTCCAGTGATGGCGAACCTATGACACGCGTGTCAGAGGTGACACACGAACTCATTTTTTTGGTTGATTTTTCTTTGTTAAATGGCATTTAAATATGTAAAATAAATATCAAAAATATAAGTCTTTGTTTTACTATGGTTGCAAAGATCAAAAAATTTCTATATGTGACACAGCACCAGAGTTAAGTTAGGGTTTTTCAAAATGCTGACACGCCGAGCTCAAAAGGTTCGCCATCACTGTCCTAGAGAGAAAAAAAATCGCCTCTGTATGTGAGGTTCCTTTTCTCAGCTCCTCACAAAAATCTCCAGTGAACTATTTCTTGGTACCTGATGGAACGGATCTGTTTTGAGCCCAGTGCCTCCGTTACTGAGCGCTTGTGCTGCTTGCGTGCCTTTCCAGGAAATAGTCCTCACCACAACCTGTGGAGAGAGTCCTTTATTTTTTTTGAGGCAGCTGGGGCGCGGTGGGCCCTGAAATGAGGAAGAGGTGGACCCATTAAGGGGTTGTTATGGGCTTCCTGATATCTGTCACCAGGCTAATGGGGCAGAATGAGGACACAGCCAGGGGCAGCCTGGGCCAATGCCTGAGGGTCCCGGCCCAGTCCTCTCATCAGAGGATCAATCTTCACTGCCCAGTCATGGCCCAAACTGCTCTGCAGCCCCTTCCCTGGGGAGAGGGGGGCCCCCCCTGACCCAACCCCTCTCCAGTGCTAATCTCACATCCTCCACTTTTCTTTTCTTTTTTTAAATATATTTTTATTGATTTCAGAGAGGAAGGGAGAGGAAGAGAGAGATAGAAACATCAGTGATGAGAGAGAATCATGGATCAGCTGCCTCCTGCACGCCCCACACTGGGGATCGAGCCCAACACCGGGGCATGTGCCCTTGACCAGGAATCGAACCGTGACCTCCTGGTTCATAGGTCGACGCTCAACCTCTGAAGCCACGCTGACCGGGCTCCCCCACTTTCCTGATGCTGCTTTCTCAGCAGGATGGCTCCATTGCCAGCTGGCCCGAGGTCATCGCCAGGCCCTCCTCGTGCTAAGAGCAGGGCTGCCAGGCAGTGGGTGAATGGGGTGAGACAGGCATGAGGGGAAGTAGGGTCACTCCTCCGGGGAGGGTTGAGCTTAGTGGTTGCCTTCTGTCTGGCTACACCCCATGGGGCTCAAAATTCCCTAGGGGCAGGGCTACAGATGTTTCTTCTCTTGGAGACCCAGAGATGGGAGGTCTTCATGCCGTGGACAGAGCCCTGCCTGCCCTCGGGGTTAGGATACTTTGATCTCCAGTCTCCAGCTCTGGGGTTGGCATTTCCAACTTCTCAAGCCTGTCTGTCGCTAATTTGCTGTGTGATCTTGGGCAAGTCGCTTCCCCTCTCTGTGCCTCACCAATAGGATGAATATCCCATTTGCCCACCCACCCGGACATTCCAGAACTGTGAGATGTTCAGAGTCATGTCCTTTTACGTAACCAGAGCCGCATTCCTTTAATTGGACAAAAATGCAAATGGCTCTGGTAGATGACTCAGCAGTCCCCAACCCCAGGCCTGCACACCCACATTGCTTTGGGTGTGGAGGGACAGGCCCCACCCAGAACCACAAGATCAGAATCTCTCTGGGCCTCTGGGTGAGCAGCACCTGGATTATGCATTTGGGTTTTTTTGGGTTTTTTGTTTTTAAATATATTTTTATTGACTTCAGAGAGGAAGGGAGAGGGGGAGAGAGATAGAAACATCAGTGATGAGAGAGAATCATTGATCAGCTGCCTCCTGAATGCCCCCTACTGGAGATCGAGCCCACAACCCCGGGCACATGCCCTTGACCGGAATCGAACCCGGGACCCTTCACTCCGCAGGCCGGTGCTCTGTCTACTGAGTCAAACCACCTAGGACGAGATGTGCATTTGTAAGAGAACACCTAGCAGAGGAGTACAGACTTTAGAAGGCAGACTGAGGGGAGAACATACTCTCCCTATCGCGATACCTGACACAGTGAGTCACAGTGATAAATTGTTTATGAAAAGAATGTGCTAATGAACCAAGAGACAATTTCCACAGCAATGAAACAAAGGAAGGACCAGGGCCCTCCATCTTCCCGGTCCTGGCCGCAGTGTGTGCGAGTAGGACACACTCCCAGCTAGACAGGGGGCCTGGGGTGCAGAGTGTGTCGGGGAGGGCAGGAAAGAGAAGACCTATGGACCCCAGGAGGGTGGCCTCGGTGGGTGGCTCTCCTCTCCCCTCTTCCTGTACATTTGAGGGGAACGAAGTCTGGTTCCTGTATTAGAATGAGAGAGTGTGCAGGAGTTGCTAAATTAACTGAGCAAGATGGAAAGAACATGCAAGGCCACCCCGACAACTGCCAGGAAAGGGAAGGAAATCACATGAGGACATGAGTTGAAAGGGATCAAAAGCAGCTTCCTTGAAACTAATGGCTTCAGGATAGAGACAAGTTAACAAGAGTATGAATTAGATGTAAGAAGAGACAATTTAAAAAATAGCATCAGGCCCTGGCCGGTTAGGCTCAGTAGATAGAGCGTCAGCCTGCAGACCAAAGGGTCCCGGGTTTGATTCAGGTCAAGGGCATGTACCTTGATTGCAGGCTCCTCCTCAGCCAGGGCCCTGGTCTGGGCTCATGCAGGAGGCAACCAATCAATGTCTTTCTCTCACATCGATGTTTCTCTCTGTCTTTCCCTCTCTCTTCCACTCTCCCTAAAAATCAATGGAAAAATATCCTCTGATCAGGATTAACAACATCAACAAATTTTTTAAAAAATAATAACATCAGGAGATGCAAAGAGAACTTGCAGAGGAAAGACACACATTGAGGACCAAACCAGGACCATTGCACATCTAAAAACTGAGTTACAATGTGGTGCACACGTCTGAAAAGCAAATGAATGACGTGGAGAGAAACTTGAAATGATCACACTGAATTCAGAGAAAAGGGACAAGTGCAATCAGTGTGAGAGAAGATGACCGTGGAACCCAGACCTTCCCGCACACAAGGGGTTGGAGTCCCTGAAGTAGATGACCCAGCAGCTAAAGCAGAAGAATGGTTGGAGAACCTCTCCCTGAAACAAAGGAAGGACCAAGTGTATGGCCTGCGAGGTGAATGACAGGAGAATGATCAACACCAGGAACAGACTGAATCAAGCTGAGTCACTAAACATGAAGATAAAGAAAACACCTCGCCCTAGCTGGTTTGGCTCAGTGGATAGAGCATCAGCCTACGGACTGGAGGGTCCCAGGTTCGATTCCGGCCAAGGGCACATGCTCAAGTTGTGGGCTTGATCCCCAGCATGGGGCGTGCAGGAGGCAGCCAACTAATGATTCTTTTATCATTGATGTTTCAATCTCTCTCTCCCTCTCCTTTCCTCGCTGAAATGAATTTTTAAAAAAAATGTATTGCCCTAACCGGTGTGGCTCAGTGGATAGAGCATCGGCCTGTGGACTGCAAGGTCCCAGGTTCGATTCCAGTCAAGGGCATGTACCTGGGTTGCGGGCACATCCCCAGTAGGCGGTGTGCAGGAGGCAGCTGGTCGATGTTTCTCTCTCATCGATGTTTCTAACTCTCTATCCCTCTCCCTTCCTCTCTGTAAAAAAATCAATAAAAAATATATATTTTTAAAAATGTATTAAAAAAGAGAAAGAAATTTTCCCACAGCAACAGTCAATACCAGAAAGCAAAGGAGCTGAGTCTTCAAAGTTGTGTGGAAAAGGGGAAACCAAGACTAGTACACCCAGAGAGGCTGTTCCAGTCTCTAGACAACCTGGAAAAGGTCAGGGAAAATAGCACCCAGGAGCCTTTTCGAAAATGAAATTACTGACGAGTGAAATCTATCTGACCATTACAAGGGTCGGCTGTTTTTTCGTTTGTTTGTTTGTTTTAATTATAAAGACAGTGTTTATTAAAATAAACATTTTAATAAACATTTCATTTTCAAAATTGAACTATCAGCTGTTTACGTGTGTTTACTTTTGGGGGGACGCCCTGGATAGCCGCGGTGTTGAGATGCGAGTCCTCAGAAAGAGGGGGGGAGCAGAGTCTTTTCCACACGGAAGGCCTTGAACTGTCCTCTACCGCTGACGCCGATGGCTCCATTTTCCCACCAGCACTCACCCTTCTCCTTCCTGGAGGTCAAATGTCGGTCTCTGCTCCCGGAGTTGTCCTGGTCTCTTACCTATTTGCTTTCTAAAGGAAGTCCCTGGGAAGCACAGGTTTCAGCTCTTCTCACTGTGCGGTTCGTATTTTGGTTTTTTTTTTTTAATATACATATATTTTTTATTGATTTCAGAGAGGAAGGGAGAGGGAGAGAGAGATAGAAACATCAATGATGATAGAGAATCATTAATTGGCTGGCTCCTGCACGGCCCCTATTGGGGATCAAGCCAGCAACCTGGGCATGTGCCCTTGATGGGAATCAAACCTGGGACCCTTCAGTCCTCAGGCCGATGCTCTATCCACTGAGCAAAACTGGCTAGGGCAAGGGTCAGTTTTTTAAAAGGCAAAATCATGACTCTCATACAGTATAAAATGAATACATATCAAAATTTTTATTTAACTAGTCCAGTAATTAGGGAATAAATAGTACGTTCCAAGTGGTTCAAAGGAAATTGGGACAGTGGATAAGGAATGTCACAGGACAACCATCAGTTGCATTCCACTGGACAAACGTCATTTGCATTTCTAGGGACAGGAATCATTTGCATTGCAATAAGTTTTCTACAACTTAGATTTGCTCAAAGACCAAAAACAGTCACTAAAGGCATGGGGGCCCTAAGTAAAGAACACACCCAGGAGTCTTTTCTTGTCCATTTCAAAGTCAGTCCAGTTTTTCCTGTTACGCACAAGAGATGACTCCAAATGCAAAACTCGGGGACAAAATGTGCTTTAAAAATGTAATGGAGCCGAAACCGGTTTGGGTCAGTGGATAGAGCATCGGCCTGCGGACTGAAAGGTCCCAGGTTTGATTCCGGTCAAGGGCATGTACCTTGGTTGCGGGCATATCCCCAGTAGGAGATATGCAGGAGGCAGCTGATCGATGTTTCTCTCTCATCGATGTTTCTGACTATCTCTCTCCCTTCCTCTCTGTAAAAAATCAATAAAATTTAAAAAAAAATGCAATGGAATCACCTTACCTGGTTTGGCTCAGTGGATGAGCATCGGTCTGAGGAAGGGTCCTGGGTTCGATTCTGGTCAAGGACATGTACCTACGTTGCAGGCTGGATCCCCAAGCCCTGGTTGGTGGGGGGTGTGGGAGGCAAACAATCGATGTGTCTCTCTTAGATCGCTGTTTCTCTTCCTCTGTCTCTCTCCCTTGTGTTCTCTAAAAATCAACGAGAAAATATCCTCAGGTGAGGATTAACAACAAAAAGATTAAAAATGCAATGGGCCAAAACCGGTTTGGCTCAGTGGGTAGAGCGTTGGCCTGCGGACTGAAAGGTCCCAGGTTCGGTTCCGGTCAAGGGCATGTACCTTGGTTGCGGGCCCATCCCCAGTGGGGAGTGTGCAGGAGGCAGCTGGTCGATGTTTCTAACTCTCTATCTCTCTCCTTTCCTCACTGTAAAAACTCAATAAAATATATTTAAAAAAAAAAATGCAATGGAATCTACTTAAACACAGGACTAAGATGAAATACTAGGAGAATTATGGTGGCCGAACAGAGAAGAAGTGTTATAAACCTTGACCAAGTGAACATATTAGAATCAAAATCAGGAGTTGGGGGTGGGGGAGATGTGTAAGGAGAATAGTCACCTTTTTCATCTCAGGAAATGATTGAGCCTGTCCCCAGGGAAGCAATTCTTTCTTTTCCCTAAGACTCCATTCTCTTAATGATTCTCATAAGCATTTTTTCTTAACATTAGAGAAATTCATTATGAACTAATCTCTCTTGTGGAAAGTAAAAATGTATCTAAAATTCAGCAATTTTTCAAGATGTTCTTTCCTGTTCAACTCAAGAAAAATGAAATACTTTTAGTTTAAAATATCGTAGATGTGGTACAATCCCATCTTTTAAAAATATTTGGACCTACTTACCTTTCTCTCTACCTCTACCTCTTTCTTTCCCTCTCCAAAGTTCTCTGTGTAAATGACAGTCAGCAAACATTAACACTGCGTGACAGGCTGTATGACGCATCTACTCTGCCGGGAAGGCCTAGGTGCTGGGATGACGGCAGAGAACAGAACAGATAAAAATCCTACCTTAGGAAGCGGCTTTCTCAAGAGGGAGGGATTTGTTGCTTCCTTCTTTGTACTTTTCTATATTGCTTGTTTTGTTTGAGAATTGAGCATGTATCATTTTTATAAAAACATGTTCACTGCTTTCACATACACACACACACACACACACACCCCTCAGATGATTGTTCCAAATAGCCAGAGTTGAGAACCACTACATGTTAAGCTGTATATCTCATGGATACCTCAGTGTAAATAAGTTTTCAAGAAGACAGCGTTTCTGTGCCCGAGGAGCCTCTCACTGTCATCCTTTAAAAAGAGACAAAATCACCTGAACTGGTTTGTCTCAGAGGACAAAAGCATCAGCCTGTGAACTGAAGGGCCCCAGGTTCAATTCCTGTCAAGGGCACATGCCTGGGTTTCGGGCTGGATCCCTAGTGTGGGGCGTGCAGGAGGGAGTCGATCAATGATTCTCTCTCCTCTTTGATGTTTCTCTCTCCATCTTCCTCCTCTCTAAAACCAATAAAAGTATGTATATATATATAAAAGAGGTAAAATCATGACTGTCATACATATAGAAAAGTGAACACATGTTAAAGAGTTTATTATAGTCCTAAATTGGTGAGAGAACCAAGCAGATATTATCGAATGTGAAGGACAGACACATTTATTGATCAGGAATATTGAAATGAATGTGCAGATGGAGGCAAAACAGGGGAGGGGAGTCAGTTGGTGTTCCATAGGACAGTTCAGAATCTGCAGTCTATAGACAAGAATGGTTTGGCATGACTATCAATTCCTACAATCTTCAGAGTTCATGGACTAGAATCAGGTAATCCCAGGAGTGCCCCGCAGAGTCCAGATAACGCAGAGCTTTTGCACAGATATACGAATATTTTCTTACAACCCTGACCTCCAAAGTCCCTCACCTGGCCACATCAGCCCACATCTCATCCAGGAATCCTCCCTGGCTCCAGACTGGGGTAGGTGACACCCACTGGTCTCCCCCAGTCCTTGAACTTCTGATCACTGTTCTGTCTTCCCCATCAGACTTAGGAGATTCTTAAAACCAGCTGTGTCTTCTCCATCTTTCATTGTGCCTGTGAGAACGCAAGAGACATTTTTTTTTTTACAACATTATTGATTTGAAAGAGAGTAAGAGTATGAGAAACATTGATTTGTTGTTCCACTTATTGATGCATTCATTGGTTGATTGTTTGTTTGTTAAATATATTTTTATTGATTTCAGAGGAAGGGAGAGGAAGAGAGAGGTAGAAACATCAGTGATGAGAGGGAATCATTGATCGGCTGCCTCCTGCACATTGGACCGAGCCCTCAACCCAGGCATGTGCCCTAGACCAGAATCGAACCTGGGACCCTTCCGTCTGCAGGCCGACACTCTATCCACTGAGCCAAACGAGCCAGGGCCATTGGTTGATTCTTATATGTGCCCTGACCAGGGATGGCACCCACAACCTTGGCTTATTGGGACAACGCTCTACCCGGCCAGGGCTCAGAAGACATTTGTTGCCTGAGTTAGAGAACGAAGGAACAATGTGGAGTCCTGAAACTCGGGTGGCCCATGGTCTCCGCCAAAGGCACTGAAAGAGCAGGGAGGCAGCAGCTGACGGTCAGCAGTGCCTCATGAATGTGTGGGGGTCTCAGGCTTGCACGTAATAAGGGCTCCTCAGAAAGCGGGCTCCTCAGAAAGCGGGCTCCAAGAGCCACAGAGCTTGGAAATTCTGGGTCACACCCACACATGGTGTTTGCTTTGTTCCTTGGAACCACAGCACTTCGGGAGCCTTTAGTGTATCAAAGTGACCTATGAATCTCTCAGAAGGAAAATGCAATGTTCCGGCGTTTTCTAAGCTTATCTGATGGTGAGGCTTTTTTTTTTTTCTCTCTCTTTAATTGGAACAAAGATGAAGGTTCTGGAGAATGTACATTGAGAAACAGCGATTCCATCCAACCTGCCCGATTGACTTAATACATGTGCTACGGGTGCCCGGGTCAGGATGCTGTGAGCAGCATCAGCCCTCCTGTGGCCTTGGATACGTCCCTTAATGTCTCCACAACCCACTGTCTTCGTCTGCAACGTGGAGCCGGAGAGAGAACTCGCCTCAATGCTGCTGGGGAGGATTCAGTGAGTTACTGTGAGGGCAACGCTTAGCACAGAGCCTGGTACAGTGTGTACTCAATAAATGTTAGCCGTGTCGTCATTATTCATGAGAACACAAGGTACCATTTACTGACGGCCTCCTCTCGCTTGACCCTCGCCACCATCCTGAGGCCAGAGGAGGAAGATGAGGCAGAGGAGGATAGAGCCCTTGGGAGGTGAAGTCCCTGGCCCGAGGCCTGAGAGCCGGCAAGTGGCCCAAGTTCTTGGACCAGGCGCAAGGCCCCAAGAACAAGCTAGCCGAGGGCTTGGCATGAAGTAGGTGCTTAATAAAGACTCTATTTTTTCGATCCTGCCCTTCTTCCTCCTTCCCTTCCAGCCCACAGTCGTGCTGAGCCCCAGTCTGAGGGTCACCTCTGGCCAGGGCTAAGGTGGATGGACAGTGCTTGAGGCCAAGGCTCCCAGGTGGTCGGGCGGAACAGGACCTAGGCTGAACCTGACTTCCATCCCAGCTGAGGTCCTCCCTTCTCTCCTCTTCCTCATCTTCCTCATGCCTCAGCCTCTGTATACTCCCTCAGGTATTTGGGGATGTGGGAACCCAGGGGTCCCTCCTCTTCAGCCATCCTGATGACAGGGCTCCACTCTCAAAACACAGAAGGGGCTTAAAGTCAGTGTTGATTCCATGCATAAAGGAAGGAAGCCAGTGTTCTGGGGCTTGAGTGGGCGGGCCTGCCAGGCCACCTGAGGCTGTCCACAGGATAAACACAGGTTCCCCAGCGCCCCACCCAGGCCTGACCAAAATTGCTGCCCCAGCGGAAGGCTCGCTCACTGAAATGACTCAGCCCCGGCGCGCAGAGGCAGTTCCCATGTTTTATGAACTAAAGGTGTTTTCCTAACAGCTCGTGGTGATGAGCCAGCATCGGTCTGGAAATAGCACCATAATCTGGTCCAAAAAGCAGGTCTGAGCCCCCGGCCACTGAGGCTGTAAGCCCAAGGGCGGGGCCTCCTTCGTGCCCAGGTGAAGCCAGCTCCTTGCAAAATAGCACAGATCCCCAAAGTGACACAGAGACTCACCCAGGCCACTTGCTTCACTGAGGGACCTGAATCTGTCCTCCCCAGAGGCTTCCATGAGCCAGTGTCCTGGGACCAAGAATCTGGGGCCCAGCATGGAGCCAGGGGGGCAGGGTGGGGAGGAACCACCACCCAACAGGGAAGATCGCTCCCCGTCTCCCCCACAGCAATGACAGTCATGCTTGGGGACCATGACATGGATGCGCTAAAGAGCTAATATTGTGAAACAAGACGGGTGATGCTTCATCCTCCCTGAGGACTCAGAAGTAAGGGCTGCAGGGCGTGGGGCGGCAGCGCCCTCACTCAGCACCACCGGCCCCCACTCCTCATTCACCCTTTCAGTCATTTATTGGGCATTTTCTAAGGGCCTACCTTCCAGCTTCACCCCAGGCTTTCTCATCTCAGCAAATGCCATCACCATCCTCCCAGCTAATTTGAGCAAAAACCCAAGGAGTCATCTTTGATCGTTGTTTTTCTGTTCCATCAGCAAATCCATTCTGCTTTACCTCCTCTACACTTCCAACATTAGACCACTTCTCAGCCTCCACCACGGCCAGTTCTCACCTCTCCCTTGGACACTGCAGCAACCACCAGCTGGACTCTTGACCTCTGGCCTTGGCCTCTAAAACGCATCTCCAGCTCATCCTTAACATCATTCTAACTATATTTCCTGTCTTCAAGTCGTCCATTGAATCTTACCAAATAATGAAACTTTTTAAAAATATATTTTTATTGATTTCAGAGAAGAAGGGAGATGGAGAGAAAGAGAGAAACATCAATGATAAGAGAGAATCATCGATCAGCTGCCTCCTGCATGCCCCACACTGGGGATTTGAGCCCACAACCCGGGCATGTGCCCTGACGGGGAATCGAACCATGACCTCCTGGTTCATAGGTTAACACTCAACCACTGAGCCACGCCAGCCGGGCCCAAATAATGAAACTTTTTAAAGAAATCAAGCAGACCCACTTCGGCATCAGGCTATAAAGAGATGAGATGAACAGAAGAAGGGCCCAGAGGCAGAACTGTGCACAGATGAGAACTTGCTATATGACAGTCATCACCAACCAGTGCGGAAAAGACCGACTCTTCTACACGGTGTTAAAACAAGTGGCGATCCATATGGAAAAGGTAAAATTAGATCCACCTACGCCCACACACAGCCCCAGGTGCACGCAAGGCTTACATGTGAAGAACAAAATTTAACACATTGAGAAGACAATCTAGGAGAATATTTTTGTGGCCTCGGGAGAAGGAACGATTTTTCAATAAATTTTTTGTGAATTACAATACGCACAACAAAAATGCATGTCGTAAGTGTGCAGCTCAGTAAAATTTCACAACCCGAAAAGAGAATCCAAATGCAGTACCTACAACCAGCGGGAGTTTCGTTTCCAGAATATGTAAAGAACTTCTGCAAATCAAGAAGAAAGACAAAGGGCCCAAAAGCCAATTCAGCATAAGTTGTGAACAAGCACCTCATAGAAAAAGAAACCTGGAGGTCCCTAGCCAGTTTGGCTCAGTGGATAGAGCATCAGCCTACAAACTGAAGGGTCCCGGGTTCGATCCCCAGTGGAGGGTGTGCAGGAGGCAGCCGATCCATGATTCTCTCTCATCATTAATATTTCTATCTCTCTCCCCTTCTCCCTTTCTAAAATCAATAAAAATATATTAAAAAAAAAGAAACCCAGATGGCCAATAATCACATAAGAAGAGGTATCAGAGAAATGTAAATTAAAAGGAGAGATTATGTCTCATCCACCAGATTGACAAAAAAATAAAAATAAAGAAGTTGATGCCACCACATGGGGACCCCAGCCTTAAACACGGAGGGTGGAGTAGATTGGTAGAGCCACTTGGCAGTGGCACAAGGTGGCATCTTGCCAGGTTGGAGGTGAGCATATCTGTGACTCAGGTCTTCTTTCCCCAGGTACCGGCTCTCACATGAGTGCACCTGGAGGGAAACTGGAAATATCACTGAATTATGATTCGGTCACAGTCATGCAATGGAGATGGCCTGGCGATTAAACACAACAAAAGTGAGTAGTCAAGAGCAACCAGGACATGTGCGCAAAGGCAGCACATGAGATGGGGCAAGGCCAGAGCCTTTGGGAAGAGAGAGGAGAGGACTCTTCCTTCTTCCCCACCCCCCACCCCCCCCGCCCCACGCCTGAAGGGGCTGACTTTACCACTGGGGAGAATTTTTGCACAAAGAAGAAACACCAGAAAAAAACATGATTTATTTTTGCCTCACTCATTTTGCAGGCAGTAAAGGTAAGCTCCAGGAAGAAGAATGATGCCGTACGGGTGCCCAAGCTGGGATGCGATTCTGTTTCCTGTCTTGTTTTTTTAAAATATATTTTTATTGATTTCAGAGAGGGAGAGGGAGAGAGAAACATCAATGATGAGAGAGAATCATGGATCGGCTGCCTCCTGCACGCCCCACGCGGGGGATCGCGCCCGCAACTCGGGCATGTGCCTCGACTGGGAATGGAACCATGACCTCCTGGTTCATAGGTCGATGCTCAACCACTGAGCCACGCCGGCCGGGCTGACTCTGTTTCCTTTCTATGACTCCCCTTCTCTCCCTCCCTGTGCTATGGCCCCTCCTCCCAAAGGCCTGGACTGGTGCCGTAGCCTCCTTTGGCCACACTTCTTGTTCTCTACTCTGCACATGACCAGAGAAGCTTGGTCACACCGCTCCCTGCTCAGAAGCATCCCGCAGCTCTCACCGCTCCCGCCGCTAAGTCCAAACTCATGGTGTTCTCCTTTTCAAGGGAGTAAAACAGCCGTTACTAGGCTCACAGGTTCTGTGGGCCAAGAATCGGGACAGGGCCCAGGAGGAACAGCTTGTGTTTGCTCCGCAGCATCTGGGGCCTCAGCTGGAGGACTTGAAAGCTGGGGGCTGGAATCCTGAAGGTGCCTTTACTCACAGGTGGATGATACAGCAGCAGCTGGGCATGGGCTAGAACGCTCCATGGGGCTTGGCCATGTGTCCTGGGCTTCCTCGCAGCATGGTGGGTGGGCTCAGAGAGAGAGAGAGAGAGCCCAGCTGGCACGGCTCAGTGGTGGAGCATCGACCTGTGAACCAGGAGGTCCCGTTCGATTCCCGGTCAGGGCACATGCTCAGGTTGTGGGTTCGATCCCCAGTGGGGGATGTGCAGGAGGCAGCGGATCAGTGATTCTCTCTCATCATTGATGTTTCTATCTCTCTCTCCCTATTCCTTCCTCTCTGAAATCAATAAAAATATATATTAAAGAAAAAGAGAGAGAGAGAGGGACTTTACTATCTTTTACGACCTAGCAGTGGAGGCTATGCATTTTATTCATCAAGGCAGCCACAAAGGCCTGCTCCATTTCAAAGAGAGGGGAAATGGACTCTACCTCTAACGGTAGAGCCCACATGGGACCAGAAGTAGCTCTGTGGCCGTTGTTAGATAGTACACATAGGAAAATATTAATATTGAAGCTGCAGCCCAGCCGATGTGGCTCAGTGGTTGAGCATCGACCCATGCACCAAGAGATTGTGGTTCGATTCCGGGTCAGGGCACGTGCCCAGGTTGCAGGCTCGATCTCCATTGAGGGCGTGTAGGAGGCAGCCAATCAATGTTTTTCTCTCACTGATGTTTCTATCATTCTCCCTCCCTATCCTTCTAAAAATCAATAAAAGCATATTTAAATATATATATTTATTTCGAGCTGCAGAGTCACAGCAGGCCTTGAATAGCAGCCTCAGGCCATGTGCAGAGGGAGAACGAGGCAGGGAGGCCAAGGACAGGGCAGGCCTGGCCAGGAGGGGCCATCGGACAGGAAGGAGGGACGGGGGAGGGCGGCATGGAGAGGGCCCGGATTGTGGTGAGGCCCAGGTATCATCTCAGCTCGGTCACCAGCGTGGCAGGTCGTTTTCCTCCTTGGGGCTTCCCTCTGTCACCTGTAAACGGAGTGAGACAGAAATATAAGGAGGAGGCTTCTTATTCATACTGTGGCTCCTGTGAGAATCTGATGACAGGAATGAACCCTCTCCTCAGGGGAAGAAAGATGCACTCAGCTCACAGGTGGGAAACTGGGCCGACACTTCTGGAGCGCTCAGCGCCAGCCTGGCTCTGGTTAAGGATGGGGCTTCAGGACCCCGGATGTCTGGGTGTGAACCCTGCCTCACTCCTCACCAGGGAAGAGAAGAGGCCTTGGGCAGCTGACTGGACCTCTCCATTCCTCAGTTTCCCCCCCTGTAGCAGCTAGGAAGGACCCCAACTCTCAGCGACTCCAGCAGAATGGCAGCTGTTTCTCATCTGGAAAAGCCCACCTGTGTGGCTGGTGGTGTTGGTTTGGGAGCTGAGACAGAGGATCTTTGTCTCTTAGAAGATTTCTCCTCCCTGAAGACCCCCCTTAATCTCATTGCTCAGAGTGGAACCACCTGACCGGCCCCTGTGAGCAAGGGGGAGGGATGAGCCCTGGCTCAGTGGCTCTCAGCCAGGCCGGTATCGCAGCTCCACAGACGTCTGCAAATGTGTGGGGACAGTTCAGGCTGTCACAGTGACTGGGCATTTAGTGGGAGGTGCCTGCTACCACGCATGACACAGTCTTGCATGAAGAATTATCCCCCCAGAATGCCAAGAGCCGTCCCCCATAGGAAAGGCAATGACGAGGGAAAGGCTGGGAAGGAGGGTCAGGGCAGCCAGCCCGTGGCATCCGCCACCACGCCCACCCCTTGGGCTGCCTTAGGAGCCTGCGTCAGTGGTCAGGTCAGTGCTCAAGCAGATGCCGGGCTTCCCTAAAGGTCAGGAGACTGCAGAGGAGGCACTCAGAAACCACCGGGGGCCCTGCTGGACCTGCGGCCCAGGCCTGAGAGGAGGCACTGCCGAGAGCAGCCGCAGCCCGGGGGGCGGACGCACGTGGGACACAGCATCGCTGCTCGTGCTCTCGCCGTCCTCAGAGCTGCTTGCCTCCCTTTGAAGCCTGCCTGGCACTCGAGGGCTGCCCGGTGTGCCCTGCCACATCCGACAGTGTCACGCCACATCCCTCCGTCTGCCCCCAAGGGGACCCTGACTCAGCAGACACAGCAGGGCAAGGCAAAGGAAGTGGGGGAGACGTCACCGTAGCTTGTCACCACGTCCGTCCATCTGGCCCAGTTCCCGGCAGCCCGGGAGTCAGCCCTCTGGTGGGTGTGGGCCAAAGCCACAGCTCCGCCAGTGGGCCAGCATCCTGGCGTCAGGCCCTCTTCCTCCTTCGGGACCTGGGGACAGGACGGGAGAAGTCTGGGTCTGACCTCCGTCCGGCCTCAGGGATCTTCTGGGCTGCTCCTCAAAGAGTGAGCACCCTGCCGGGCTGGTGTGGCTCAGTGGTTGAGCATCAACCTAGGAACCAGGAGGTCCTGGTTCGATTCCCGGTCAGGGCACACGCCCGGGGTTGTGGGCTCCATCCCCAGTAGGGGGCGTGCAGGAGGCAGCTGATCGACGATTCTCATCATTGATGTTTCTATCCCTCTCCCTTCCTCTCTGAAACCAATAAAGATCTATATTCCTCACTCCACGATTAGGTAAATTGTTTTAAAAATAAAAGAGAGAGAGCACCCTAATCCCTCTTGCCCTTCCCCAAGCTCAGGAGAAACCAATGTTCTCCCCTCCCAACGAGGCCAAGGTGTCTCAGTTCTGGTGACTGCCGAGCCGGTGTGAGATGGAGGCGTTCCCACGGGAAGGTGAGGGTCACAGGCTGGGCCCCTAGAGCTGGAAAGCCCTCAGGTGATTCCAGCTGTGCTCCCTGAACACCTGCCGTGTGCAGGGCGCTGTGCCAAGCATTTTATAGAATTAGTTCATCCCGTGCTTATGACACCTTCGCAGGGGAGGTGTCATTATCCACATGTGATGGATAAGGAAACTGAGGCTCGGCCAAGTTCAGCCCTGGGTTAGCTTCCTCACTGATGGATCAGGCATCTGAGGACGCCCCGCCCAGCGTGGGAGCAAGGCTCGTCTCCCTGGGCTGGGCCTGGCTGCTTTGTTGGAGGACATTTGTCCTGGACACAGGCCAGGCACTAAGGCTCGAGTGGACATGTCGGGCCAGCAGCCAGGTTCCAGGCACCAGGCCTCCCCGACGTCTGTCCATTGCTGCCCTGTTGACTCACGGAGCCCAGAAAGTCCAGATTTTATAAGGTCAACCCAAGCACCCTGGGACTTTACACTCAGCACTTGTTGACATGTAGGGCTAGAACAGCTTCTTCCGTTGGGTGTGCGGACATGGGCCACACACGTGTGCTGTCTCCTAGGACAGTGGTCGGGAAACTCATTAGTCAACAGAGCCAAATATCAACAGTGCAATGATTGAAATTTCTTTTGAGAGCCACATTTTTTAAACTGAAACTATATAGGCAGGTACATTGTTATCGACTTAATCAGGGTCCTCCTAAGCTGGCCTTCGCTAAAAACGTCCTCAGTCTGATGGAGGTACGTTCGCCGAGGTCAACCCCTTCCAACTCTCCCATCCACACTCGCCTTGTATACTTGTTTCTTCTATCTCCTTTCATTCATCCTCTCTGTGTGTCCAAACCATCTCAACACACCTTTCTCCATCCTCAACACTACATCTTCTTTCACTCCACAACGTTCCCTGTACGTGCACTCCTGCACGTGGTATTTTGTGGAAGAGCCACACTCAAGGGGCCAAAGAGCCGCATGTGGCTCGCGAGCCGCGGTTTGCTGACCATGGTCCTAGAAGACCAACATCCAGTCATAGGCGACAGCTTCTGGGCCAGGAGTGGAAAGACCAGAGCTCCAGACCCAGCCGCCCACACCAACCCTGACCTTGACCAGGTCTCACTGTCTCCCTGAGCCTCATTCTACTCCTCTGAGGAATCCTAACCCTGTGATTCCCAAAGGGCAGGGAAGGAGGAGACACACTTCTCCTTTTTTTTTTTTTTAATATTTTTATTGATGTAAGAGAGGAAAGGAGAGGGAGGGAGAGATAGAAGTATCAATCATGAGAGAGAATCACTGAACGGCTGCCTTCTGCACGCCCCCCCTACTGGGGATCGAGGCCGAAACTTGGGCATTTGCCCTTGACTGGAATCGAACCTGGGACCCTTAAGTCCACAGGCCGACGCTCTATCCACTGAGCCAAACCAGCCAGGGCCACTTCTCCTTTTTTTAAGTATATTTTTATTGATGTCAGAGAGGAAGGGAGAGGGAGAAAAAGATACAAATAGAAACATCAATGATGAGAGAGGATCATTGATCAGCTGCCTCCTGAACACCCCCACTAGGGATTGAGCCTGCAACCCAGGCACGTTCCCTGATCAGGAATCGAACCGGCGACCTCTTGGTTCCTGGGTCAATACTCAACCGCTGAACCACACAGGGCTGGGCTGGAGACACCATTTCTTTTGTCCCACCCTCAGCGATGTCTCTCGCACCACAAATAGCCATTGCGTTTCACCTCCTGTGCAAATGCTGGTAGGTTAGCAGTGACTGCTTGGGAGACTGTGGGGAGAAGGATTCCACAGCTGTTTGGTGATGGATTAGCCATGTCTGTCCTGGGCCAGGACTGAGGGGTGGTGATGCGTGTGCCGTGCGTTTACCGTAACTGTGATCCCCCAAGCACGCTGTCCGAAGGGAGCCCTCAGGGAGTTCCCCAGGTGCTCCCCAGAGATAAGGTGCCCCAGTAACCCCATTTCTGTGAAGGCCAAGTCCTTGGAAATATTACGCAGCCGTTGAGAGGGGATTTTGCATTGGTTCAAGCCTCTCAGCCACTTCCTGCCCCAGATAACCGGCTCCCGTGGCTGCTCTGGGGTTTATCTGTGAGGTCACAACTGCTGCCTTGAGGCCTTCAATTCTCCTGTCGGAGAACAATGCTCACAGGCTGTCTGCTTTCCTGGCAGTGCCCCTGCTTCTAAATGCTCCCATTACCCAAAAACGCCCCCCCCCACCTCCCCCTGTGACCCATTCTCGGCTGACACGCAAATGTAGATCTGGTTTATGGGGCTGAGGTGGCAGCTGCCTGGCTCTCCCAGGACTGCATGCTCAAGGCAGAACCCGAAGTCTTTCTCATGATGGAATTCCAGTCATGGTGGCGGGTCAGTGGGGACGCGTCGGAGGCTGTGGGGGCGGCCTGACATTCCTCAAATCAGCCAGGCCGGTGAGTGTCCAGGTCGGCGCACCCCACCTGTCACTGTTTGCCCACCCTGAGCAGGGCTCTGCTGTGTTTCCTCCTGGGACAGACTTGTTCCGTCCTGATAGGTGATTCCACTCCACCCTGCTTCCCAAGCTTTCTGGGTTGTAGGGCTCCCCACCCAGGGCCGAGGCCCAAGGGAAAAGCCCTGCGCTGGTCATTGGCTCTAAATCACAGAGAACGCCCTGGCTGGTGTTGCTCAGTGGATAGAGCGTCGGGCGGCAGACTGAAGGGTCCTGGGTTCGATTCCGGTCAAGGGCACATGCCTGGGTTGTGGGCTCGATCCCCAATGTGGGGCCTGCAGGAGGCAGCTGATCCATGATTCTTTCTCACCATTGATGTTCCTATCTCTCTCTCTCCCTCTCCCTTCCTCTCTGACACCAATAAAAATATATATGTAAGTAAATCACAGAGAATGACTTAGGGTGGCGAGGAGCATTTTGCAAGATCCCAGAATTTTCCTGAGAGAAGGAACCCCACCTCCACCTGGTGCACCTGTCCCTTCCACACCCCCTCACCGAATGGATGTTCAGCTTCCACTTAAATGGCTCAGTTGGGAGGGCCGGAAATTCTAGGCATCTCTCTCTTTTTTAAAAAAATATATTTTTATTGATTTCAGAGAGGAAGGGAGAGAGAGAGAGAAACATCAATGATGAGAGAGAATCATGTATCAGCTGCCTCCTGCACACGCCCTACTGGTGACTGAGCCCAAAACCTGGGCATGTGCCCTTGACCGGAATCAAACCTGGGACCCTTCAGTCCGCAGGCTGACGCTCTATCCACTGAGCCAAACCAGCTGGGGCTCTAGGCATCTTTTGTTTCTTCTTCATGTTTTTTATGTAGAGTCGTTTTCCACAACAAAGTCATTCGTTCAACAAATATTTATGCAGCCCCTACTGTGTGCCAGACACTGTTGAAGCCATTGGGGATACAGCAGTGAGCAAAGCAGACAAAAACCCCTGCCCACACAGAGCTGACATGCTATGGTGGGGGCGGGGGGCGGGGGGAGGAGAGGGAGAAAGACAACAAACCAATAAGGAGAGTATACAGTGCGTCCAATGGTGAAAAGTGTTATGAGGAAAAATTAAGGAAGGGGCGTGGGGCGTGGGGCGTGCTGTGTTTGCATTTTAGCAGTGAAGGCACCATTCCAGCAAAGTCCTGAGAGAGGAGAACAGGCTGAGGCACATGGTGTCCTCTGAGAGGTCCAGATAGAGGGGAGGGCGCTGCCCTGAGGGAGGACTGCGCTGGAGAGATAGGGACCCAACGGAGGCCAGCGCGCTGCAGCCACACCAGCCAGGTGGGGACTGTGGGAGATGAGATGAGGTCAGGAGGGCACAAGGGTGGGGCGGATGGTGCTTACATAGTATGGCTTTTGTTTTGTGTGTGTGTGTCTGTGTGTGTCTCTGTGTGTGTGTTTTGTTTTTAATATATTTTTATTGATTTCAGAGAGGAAGAGAGAGGGAGAGAGAGAAACATCAGTGATGAGAGAGAATCACTAATCAGCTGCCTCCTGCACGCCCCCCACCGGGACTGAGCCCACAATCCCAGCATGTGCCCTTGACCGGAATCAAAGCCGGGCCCCTTCAGTCTGCAGGCCGATGCTCTATCCACTGAGCCAAACTGGCTAGGGCAGTGGTCGGCAAACCGCGGCTCGCGAGCCACATGCGGCTCTTTGGCCCCTTGAGTGTGGCTCTTCCACAAAATACCACATGCGGCGGGCGCGCACATACAGGGCGAAGTTGACTTAAAACTTTAAGTAAAGTTTATTAAGTTAATTTTATTGAACGTTGTGGAGTGAAAGAAGATGTAGTGTCGAGGATTGAGAAAGGTATGTTGAAATGGTTTGGACATATAGAGAGGATGAACGGAAGGAGATAGACGAAACAAGTATACAAGACTAGTGTGGATGGGAGAGTTAGAAGGGGCCGACCTCAGCGAATGAACCTCAATCAGATTGAGGACGTTTTTAGCAAAGGCCAGCTTAGGAGCGCCCTAATTAAGTTGATAACAATGTACCTACCTATATAGTTTAAGTTTAAAAAATGTGGCTCTCAAAAGAAATTTCAATCGTTGTACTGTTGATATTTGGCTCTGTGGACTAATGAGTTTGCTGACCACTGGGCTAGGGCCATAGTGTGGCTTTTGTAATGCAAGAAGCCAATTTTTTTCAATAGGAAAGAGTTAGATTCTAATAGAAGCTCAAACCCAGACAAAAAGAAAACCCAAATCCGGTCCCCGTGAGCCAAGTGAAGACCACATCAGCACTGCACGATGAGGCCAGCGTTTCTGGAGCGCTAACAGTGCCTGGCACGTCAACTGGAGCCAAAGGGACAGGGTAGCTGAGTTTTTACGATCAATTGTATCGATCCAGGAAAACGGAAACCAAAATAACTCTGTGAGGTAAGAGGCCTGGCGGAAAGGGCCGGGCTTCCTGGGGCACAGTGGGGGTGAGGGGGAGGGTGTTAGAGTTCTCAGGCCTGGATCTGAGGAAAGGAGTGGAGGTGGGCATGGATGGGTGCCCTCCCCTGCCCCCTTGGGCCAGTGAGTGACTCCCAGGGCCAGTCTTTGGCAGGGTCCTGGTGTTCATCATGTAAACCTTACTGTGAGTCAGGCCCAGCAGCCTGGCCTGCCCGGGTATCCAGACCCCTGAGGGCCAAACCCACACCCTGGGGTGTTCAGGAAGCCACTCTCCAGAGAATTCCACTGGGTCCTCATGTTCCTCACCCAACTATTGATACGCCCATTGACCAGGAAGCGTAGGCCACTCAGGTGTGCACCACCGTGACATGGTCGCTAAGCTTGGGCCGAGGAGGGCTTCAGTCCCAGGCCTACCTGACGGCCCCGTCTCTCCTGGAATTAGCTGAGGCTGTGACAGGGAACAAGGACAGGCCCCTGGGACAGGGAATGAGCCCCCAGGCAGCAGCAGGAGGGAGGGTGGGAGATGACGTGAGGCGGGGCCAGAGTACAGGGAAGTGGCAGGCCACAGGGAGGGGCTGGACACAGTGCAGCCAGGCAGGGACCAGGGGAGAACATTCAGAACTCCCAGTCCTTCGCCAGAAGTTAACAAAAGTCATTGTTACAGTCACGGACATAGATCCTTATCTCCTAAATGGTATATTTTGGCGTGTGCGTGTTTATTCTCTTTGATGCTGGAAGAGGGGAGGCGGGGTCACGTGGCCAGGCTGGGCACACTTTCACCCAGGACGGGTGCAGGGAAAGGGTTCCGAGGGAGGCCAGGCCCTAACAGGGACTGCGGGCCCCACACTCCCCTTTTCACCCTCTGCCCAAGATGCCAAGTTTCCTGCCCAAGCCCCGCACCAGAGGGCATAGACAGTGGGCAATAATGGCCAGGCCTGAGGGCAAACAGAACAGTGAGGTCCCTGCCCAGCCACCAGCCCTTGCAGTGTTCACTGGGATCAGCCGGATACAGGCCCACATGCTGGCTGTGCCACGTTCTGTACACGTGTCCTTGACAAGTTGTTGTTTTTTATTATTATTATTTTTTTGTTAATCCTCACCTGAGGATATTTTCCCATTGATTTTTTAAAAAAATATTTTTTTATTGCCCTGACCGGTTTGGCTCAGTGGATAGGGGGTCGCCCTGCGGACTGAAAGGTCCCAGGTTCGATTCAGGTCAAGGGCATGTACCTTGGTTGCGGGCACATCCCTAGTGGGAGGTGTGCAGGAGGCAGCTGATTGATGTTTCTCTCCTATCGATGTTTCTAACTCTCTATCTCTCTCCCTTCCTCTCTGTAAAAAAAACAATAAAATATATTTTTTAAAAAAAATATTTTTTTATTGATTTTGGAGAGGAAGGGAGAGGGAGAGAGAGAAACATCAATGATAAGAGAGAATCACTGATCGGCTGCCTCCTGCAAGCCCCCAGCTGGGGATCGAGCCCACAACCCGGGCATGTGCCCTTGACTGGATTCAAACCCAAGACCCTTCAGTCCACAGGCTGATGCTCTATCCACTGAGCCAAACAGGCGAGGGCTCCACTGATTTTTAGAGAGAGTGAAAGGGTGGGGGGAGAGAGAGAAAAACATTGATGTGAGAGAGACACATCAATTGGCTGTGCCCCAACCAGGGCTGGGAATCAAACCTGCAACTAACTGTGTCACGTGCCCTTGACGGGACTCGAGCCCGGGACCCTTCAGTCCGCAGGCTGACGCTCTACCCACTGGGCCTTGGCAAGGCCTTTCACCCTAAGGCCCTCATCTGTGAAACGGGCGTGCCTTAAGGGTTGTTTGGAGGATTACATAAGACCTTGCACGTGAAGCACTCAGCACAGTCCGGCCAAAGAGCGAGCTCCGACTAAGTGTTACCATTACGATTATTTTCATCATCATTTCTGCCGGCGTGACCACCGTACAGTCTACTGTTGACACAGGATTTCACTGCCCGAGTGCGCATTTGTGTTGATGATTTGCGTTGGCACCAAGCAGTCCTTTTTAATTGCTGCTGGCTAGCAAGAAAAGAGCAGAGGCGGATTTAATGCGTAAATGATGTGGTGAAGCCAAGAGGAGGCCAGATGATGTAACAGCCCACAGTGCAAACAGAAGTCCTGCAGTCATTCAGAGAGAGAAAAGTCGTGGGAGAACTGCGTCACCCCCCCGCACAGACATGGCAGCGCCCACCGGCCTGTCACGTTCACCAGGGGGCCTGCTCTCATTGGTCAGCCCCATGTCTCCGTACGCGGTAATTTGCTTTCAGCCAAACAACATCATCCTTCCCATTGAACTAACGTTTAATGAATTGTGTTGGGTTTGTAGTTTTGTTTATCTTTATTGTGTAAATTTCTCTTGAAAGTATTGCTAAGTAAAAAAACAAAACAAGCCCTACCAGGCTTGGCTCAGTGGATAGAGCGTCAGCCTATGGACTGAAGGGTCCGGGTTCGATTCCGGTCAAGGGCACATGCCCCAGTTGCAGGCTCGATCCCCAGTGTAGAGCATGCAGGAGGCAGTCAAACAATGATTCTTTCTCACCATCGATGTTCCTATCTCTCTCTCCCTCTCACTTCCTCTCTCAATTCAATAAAAATATATTTACAAAAACAAAAACCCAGCCTGACTGGCGTGGCTCAATGGTTGAGCGTCAATCTATGAACCAGAAGGTCACGGTTCAATTCCCAGTCAGGGCACGCATATGCCTGGGTGGCGGGACCAAACCCTGGTGTGGGGCATGCCGGAGGCAGCTGATCAATGATATATATATAAAAATATAGAGGGCTAGGGCCAATGAAAATATATTTAAAAACAAACAAAAACCCAGCCCTACCCAGTTGCTCAGTGGTTAGAGCGTCAGCCTGCGGAGTGAGGGGTACAGGTTTGATTTCGGCCAAGGGCACATGACTGGGTTGCAGGCTCAATCCCGGGGCCATGCGGGAGGCAACCAATCGATATGAGTCTCACATCGATGTTTCTCTCTCTGTCTCTCCCCGTCCCTCCCACTCTCTCTGAAAATCAATGGAAAAGATATCCTTAGTTGAGGATCAACAAACAACCAAAAACCCAAATTATAATATGCTACCTTTTGATAAAAAAAGGGAAATACTATAAGAACAGAGAGGTAGCCCTGCCCGCGTGGCTCAGGGATTGAGCGTGGACCTATGAACCAGGAGGTCACGGTTCGATTTCCCCGTCAGGGCACATGCCCGGGTTGCGGGCTCAATCCCCAATGTGGGGCGTGCAGGAGGCAGCCGATCCATGATTCTGTCTCATCACTGATGTTTCTATCTCTCTGTCCTTCTTCCTTCCTCTGTGAAATCAATAAAGATGTTTTTTAAACAGAAGAGAGGTAAATGTGTGTGTATATATAATTTTTTTCTTTTTTGCAGAAAGGAACACTGGGAAGATCAATTAGAATAAAAATTGGTACTCAAGTGTGGAGGGGGATTGCATAGAAGGAGCAGAGGTAGGAGCAAGATTGCTTTCTGTGTGTTTTTCTGTCGTTTTGACCTTTGAATCATTTTGGATGGAGGGTTGCATGAGAGCGAAAGGACGACTGCGTACCTAACATAACAGAATCACTTACCTCCGTCAGCCTTGGGCAGGGGGAGGCGGGGGGGAGGGATTGCTTCCCAGGAGAGCATCTTCCTAAAATACTATCCGGAAAGTATTTCTTCTCCCTAAAACGGAGAAGGCCAGGAAGGCCAGTCCTGCCTCGACTCTGTGAGCAGAAACTCAGCAAGCACAGCGATGTGGCCGACACTGGGAGACAGTACAGCCACGGGTCCCCATGGAGCCAGACTGCCAGGCCCCTTAGAAAGTACTGCCCACCAGTGTGTCTGCCATGGGTGCTGGAGCCTCCAGCCCCAAGCAGGCAGCAGGGGGCGAGGCGGCAGCTGCCAGCAAGGCCCTGCCCGCCTCCATCATCCCGGTTCACGCGCCCCAGCCGGCGGCCCACATCTTCTGCAAGTCATGAGGTGAACAAGTTAGGGCACGCAGCCGAGGAGGACTGTGCTGACCTCTGACCTTAGACGCAAGAGGTCAGAGGAGCGGGCAGCTGACAAAATAGGGACCAGGCACCGCGCGGGCCGCACCAAAGGCTGCTCTGAGCCCAGACAGCAGTGCGGGGAGGCTGGCGGGCTATCGAGGAAAAATAATAGCCTGAGAGCACCAAGCAAGCCCGGCAGCGAGGGCAGAGATTTAATCCACGAAAGCCTGGGTTTAGGCCAACGCGGGAGAGCTGGAAAGGCCTTCTGCCTTGGACGGAAGGGGGGCGGTGACTTGATCACAGCGGCCATTGCCACAGGCCAGGCGCTGTGCTGAGCCTTTACAGGCGTCGCCGGATGAGCCGAGTAGCTTGTACCCCATGTGGCAGATGAGGAAACTGAGGCCCCAGGGGGTCACGTAGTTTGCACAGGGGGCATTCAAGCGACTTTCAGAGCTGGGATTGGCCCCAGGGCTGGGCTGGGAACCCACACACTGGACCACCGCCCACGGGGTTTGTGGCCTGGACCACAGATTATAGAAATATCACCCAGGTCTACTGGGAAGTTGCAGGTGACCAGCCTTTTCCAAGAAAAGTGTCAAATGTTCATCAGAGCAGAGCCACCCACATCACATTTTCCTAAGGAAACAGCGGCGGCTGATTCAGCGATCGCTCCCTCCCTCTTCTGGAGGCAGAAAGCTTTCTTTCCATTCTCACTCCCCAGGTTCAGATCTTACAAATTCCCAGCAAGCTCTCTAGGCCTCAGCTTCTTCATCTGCAAAATGGGGATAACAGTAGCGCCTGCCTCAATGTTGTGAGGAGCCACAAAGGAGGCCATTCGTGTAAAGCACTCAGCATCGCGCCTGAGATGGAATGAGTGTGCGCTGTGTGGGTTTAACTGTTAACCCAAAGCTTCCCCGATTGCCCGGGTTCCTACTATCGCTGCCCAGGTGGCTGTGGTAGAGGGAGAAGCACATGCGCGCCCAAGCAGCTGGGCAGTAGAACCTCAGGGCTGGCCGGCCAACTCTCAGCCTGCGGAGGCCCCAGCTTCCCAGGGCAATGGGTGGCACCCCGTCCTTCCCAGGTCTGCTCAGGAGCCCACAAGCCCATTTCCCGGATTATGAAAGTCACTGTTTCTCCAAGCCGGCCCCCAACCCAGCATGGAGCACGGGAGGGTCACTAACAGGGCCTCCTGCGGAGGGCTGTACCCCTATATGTCTCCTCCCCACAGCAGTCACACAGGGGCCTTTTAAAACGGTAAATTAGTGCCCAGCTGGTGTGGCTCGGTGGTTGAGCATCACCCTAAGAACCAGGAGGTCATGGTTCAATTCCCGGTCAGGGCACATGCCCAGGTTGCGGTCTCGATCCTCAGTGGGAGGCGTGCAGGAGGCAGCCAATCCATGATTCTCTCTCATCATTGATGTTTCTATCTCTCTCTCCCTCTCCCTTCCTCTCTGAAATCAATAAAAATATATTTAAATTTTTTTTTCTTTCAAAAAAAGATAAATTAGTGAAATTCTCCAAAAACTGTCCACTGCTCTGAGAATTTCATTCAATATCCTGACCGGGCTGCCACCTGCTCCAGGATCCCGTCCTTGCCTACCCCTCTTATCCCCTCTCTCCCCACCCTCGCCCTCTCCCACACGCTTGGAGAAGTGTCTGCTCTCCAAGTGCACGCGCTCATGTCCCAGGCCTGTGTCCTCTCGTCCCAGGCCCGTGTCCTCTCGTCCCAAGCCCGTGTCCTCTCGTCCCAGGCCCGTGTCCTCTCGTCCCAGGCCCGTGTCCTCTCGTCCCAGGCCTGTGTCCTCTCGTCCCAGGCCCGCATCCTCTCGTCCCAGGCCTGTGTCCTCTCGTCCCAGGCCTGCCTTGGAAGCCCTCTCGTCACACCTCAACTATCACTTCCTCCCAGGCACCTTCCCTGGCCACCCGAGGGACTGTCCCAGGCATAACCACATCACCCTCTTTATGATTTCTTCCCAGAGCACTTCCGATGACCTGAACTCCTCTGATGAACGGGCTTATGGTGCTGCCGTCTGCCTCCCTCACCACCACACGAGCCCTGGAAGAGGTCCTGCACCCGGCGGCTCTCAGTCAGTGTCTGAGGAGTGAGTGAGTGACTGAGTGAGTGAGTGAAATGCCTGGTGCACAGCCCACCCTCCACAGAGGTTTTTATTGTCACACATAACATATCCCCACCCCAAGCCCTCTTCTTTTTTCTTTTTCTTTTTTTAAAAATATATTTTATTGATTTTTTACAGAGAGAAAGGGAGAGAGAGATAGAGAGCTAGAAACATCGATGAGAGAAAAACATCAATCAGCCGCCTCCTGCACACCTCCCACTGGGGATGTGCCCGCAACCAAGGCACATGCCCTTGACCGGAATCGAACCTGGGACCTCCCAGTCCACAGGCCGACGCTCTATCCACTGAGCCAAACCGGACATGGCTTCTTTTTTTTTTTTTTTTAATATATTTTTATTGATATCAAAGAGGAAGGGAGAGGGAGTGAGAGATAGAAACATCAATGATGAGAGAGAATCATGGATCGGCTGCCTCCTGCACACCCCCCACTGGGGATTGAGACTGCAACCCGGGCATGTGCCCTTCACCGGAATCGAACCCGGGACCCTTCTGTCTGCAGGTCGATGCTCTATCCACTGAGCCAAACCAGCTTGGGCCCAAGCCCTCTTCTTGCTTCTTAGCCTCCCTCAGGCTCCCGGGAACTTCAGTGGAGGTCTCTTTCAGCTAAAAAGCACTCCACTGTCCGTGAGAGGCCCTCACTGCTTGCCACCCACAGTTCCCTCACCTGGCATGTCTGGCACCCTCTCTGCCAAAGGCAGCCCCTTGGGCACTAGCAGTGCTGGCGCCTTTCATGTGCAGGTGGCACGGGGCAGACTGCTCCCCAGGTGCACACACCGTGCCCCACTGAGCCAGGGCACCGCCCTCCTTCAGGAATTGGCTAGCTTTTCCCCCAGCAGTGTTTGTTTTAGGGATTAGAGTTAGAGTGGCGGAGCCTGTCATTTCCAGAATCATTCCTTCCTTCCCTGGCGGCCAGCAGTACATTTGTTATTTTATTTTCCAAAGACCCTGATCACAGCGTCCCAGACAAGTTGGTTGATAGCATCATCCAACGGAAAAACTCTCCGATGCTGTGCTTAGCCATGGCCAGACTCGCTGGCTTCACGGGGGAGGCCTGGACCCAGAGTGGCACCCCTTTCGCGCCTTTTTTGGGTCAGCCCTGAGGCCCACAGTCATTTTCTCTCCTGTTTCTCTTTTCTTTTTAAGTAGTGCAGTAACCCCCACCCAGACACACCGCCTTTATCTGGCACAGTGCAGAAATGGGCTGCCCTGGCCGGTTTGGCTCAGTGGATAGAGCGTCAGCCTATGGACCAAAGGGTCTCAGGTTCGATTCCGGTCAAGGGCACGCACCTTGGTTGCAGGCTCCTTCCCAGCCTGGGCCCTGGTCGGGGCTCCTGCAGGAGGCAACCAATCGATGTGTTTCTCTCACAGTGATGTTTCTCTCTGTCTTTCCCTCTCTCTTCCACTCTCCCTAAAAATCATTGGAAAAATATCCTCGGGTGAGGATTAACAAAACAAAACAAAAAGAAACTTAACTCTAGAAGAAAAAAAAAAAAAGAAATGGGCTACCTCATGTTAGTAAATTTTCAAAATAATGTCTTCCAGGCATCAACACTTGGAACAAATATATTTTAAAAACAGCTTTGTTGAGGTGTGATTGACACACTGTAAGCTGAGTATGTTTAAAGTGTACAGCTTGATCTGTGCTGACGTTCCCATACACCCGCGAAACCATCCCCACCGTCCAAGATAATGAACATATCCATCATTCCCAAGAGGTTCCTTCCGCCCCGCGGCCCCCCTCCCCGGCAGCCACCGATCTGCCTTCCAAAGGCACGTTCGATGCAGAGCTGCCTCACCCACTTCCCCACCCTGTAAATAGGGTGCTCAGCCCGATTGTTCCCGTCCTGGTTCAGCATGATCATTAACGCTACTGAAAGCCGTGTCCTCAGATGTCAGGGAGAGACGGAGACTGTTTGCCGTGCGCACTAAATGGCCCCATTGTTGCACCGCCGTCCGTGCCTGGCAGGTTGGGGTTTGGGAGTTTCTCCCTCGCTGCCAGCTGCCTCGGCGCGCAGTTCCCGGCAGACCACTCCTGGGGCCTCGCAGGCTGCACACACCATCGCCTCCTCCGCGCCATTCCCATCCCTCACACCCCATCAGTGGTCCTCAGCCAGGGGCACTTTTGCCCCCCAGGGGACATTTGGCAATGCCTGGGGACATTTCTGGTTGTCCTAATGGCGGTGGGAGTGCCGCTGGCTCCTACCAAGTGTTGAGAGACAGGGGTGTTGCTACACATGCCACGCGCACAGGACAGCCCCGCGAAAAACAGTGATCCAGCCCAAGAAGTTAATGTGCTGAGGTTGAGAAACCCCTTCCAGATGCCAGAACTAACTGGGAAAGGGGACAAGAAGTCATGACAATTGACTGCTGTACTTTTCTGGATCAAGACGGAGAAGGAGCCCTAGCTGGTTTGGCTCAATGGATAGAACGTCGACCTATGGACTGAAGGGTCCCGGGTTCGATTCCGGTCAAGGGCACATTCCCCGGGTGGTGGGCTCAATCCCCAGTAGGGGACATGCAGGAGGCAGCTGATCCATGATTCTCTCTCATCATTGATGTTTCTATCTCTCTCTCCCTCTCCCTTCCTCTCTGAAATCAATAAACTATTTTTTTAAATATATTTTATTGATTTTTTTACAGAGAGGAAGGGAGAAGGAGAGAGAGTTAGAAACATCAATGAGAGGGAAACATCAATCAGCTGCCTCCTGCACACCCCCTACTGGGGATGTGCCCGCAACCCAGGTACATGCCCTTGACCGGAATCGAACCTGGGACCCTTCAGTCCGCAGGCCAACGCTCTATCCACTGAGCCAAACCGGTTTCGGCAATAAAATATATTTTTTAAAAAGGGAGAGGGAAAGGCAGAGGTTTATGGGAGCTGCAAGGCCACATGGTAGGACAGAGTCAGGAAGACCTTAGCTGTCTCAGCGACCTCCTCCCAGGCATGGGCGCTGGCTTCCAGGACAAGCTCTAAGGGACTCAGCTTGAAGCACCAGGGCCCAGCACTCAGTAGGCGCTCAGTGAATGTCCATCCGATTGTCTGATTGCACCCAACACACCTACTAGGTGCCCAGGCCTGGGTAGCAGTGGCTAGACGTTGAAGGCAAGGCAGGAGACACAGAAGGGAGCCATCAAACCGACCAGTGAGTGTGGGACTTGGCAGAACCAGCTGAGGAAAGATAAGTGCAGACCCACCCCAGTAACTGGGAAAACGAGGGCTGGCCATGACGGGATCCTGTCCCAGGGGCCCAGCCATTTCACCACCAGATCACTTCTGGCTCCTCCCCCCACCCACAGGCACCCTTTTTGCTTGTCATATAAGGGAGACTTTCCCAAAGTGGTTTAGCCAGAACTGGCAGGGCCCTGCCCCAGGTTGGGGTAGGAGGAGCCTGGCTGTTGCCCAGCAGCGCTCAGGAGGGACTCCAGGTGCCTGCAGCTGGATGGTGAAGTATGGGCATGCTTTATTCCCCTCCGCATGACTTCAAGGTTTTGTTACTTGATTATACTGTAGACCAGCGGTCGCCAACCTTTCGGACCTCACGGACCACCGGTTGGCGACCACTGCTGTAGACGCTCCTGAAAATGCGTGTAGGCAAAAAGCTCACAAATCCCACCCTTTCAGAGAAAACAGTTTTGTTGTGTGGCCTTCTATTCAAGTATGAAGGTGGTGTAGACGTTTTTTTAAAAAAATATTTTTTTATTGATTTCAGAGAGGAAGGGAGAGGGAGAGAGAGATAGACACATCAATGATGAGAGAGAATCATCGATTGGCTGCCTCCTGCACGCCCCCTACCGGGGATCGAGTGCAATGTTGGCATGTGTCCTGACTGGGATTCGAACCGTGACCTTCTGGTTCATACGTCGACGCTTAACCACTGAGCACACTGGCCGGCAGTGTAGACATTTTTATGAAAACCAGGTGTGGGTGCTGCAGCCGAAGGCTTGAGGTGCCTGCGAGTGAGGAGGAGGTTTTGAGAGAAGGGGACCCCAGAGAGCACACCACGGGGACACTGGGAGTGCCCCTGGTGAGTGTGACTGGGTGGATTTAACTGGGGGGTTGCTCTACGGAGCCTCCCAGATTAGTCCCAAATCCAGAGAAAAAGAGGCCTCGCTGGCTGGGTACTTCTCTCCCGGGTCTCTGCTGGAAAGGTGAGAACCCCAGTTACAGCCCTCTTCCCTTGGGCCTTAACTAACCATCATGCCCTGCTTTCCCCCACAGGTGGACATCCCTCCTGTTTGCCAGGCTTCTGTCACATGGTGCCCCAGCCTGTTGACTGCTGTGTCGAACTGATCCAGTGGGATCCACAGGTCAGTACAGCTCCTACGGCCCCAAGTCCGGACTCGTGGGCTCCAGGGGAGTTAACTTCCTAGGGCAAGCATGTCAAACTCAAAGGCGGACACGAGCTAAATAAATGAGGCATGCGGCCCGCTGGCCCCAAGTTTGACATGTTTGTCCTGGGGCCTTAGGGCCTCTGATATGGATACGGAGAGAACAATACCTGCCCACGGGACTTGCTCCCGTGAGATAAAGGACCTCACTGGCTAGCAGTCAGCAACTGAAGCAAGCTGGGACTCCCTCCAGAGGGGTCTCAAGGAGAGTGGCTGTAGCAACAGAATCGTGGTAAATGACAGCCGCATGGGAAACCCTGGGTGAAGCCAGGGCAGGTGCTCACTTGCTCAGTCCTAGCCTCTCCCCTCCCTCCAGCGATGCACCTCTGAGCAGCACAGTTCCAGGATTTCAGTGCTAAGTGCCAGAGGCAGGCTTGGAGGGCCAGGCTTGGAGGAACTGGCAAGTGCAGTGCCGCCTCTTCCTTCACCGCAGACCACCGAGGCTCCCCTGGGACCAGCCTCCAGGATGGGTGGGGCGCCGAGAGGCAGCCAGCGTTGCTATCTCTCTGGCTTGACCTCTCTTCTAGGTCAGAGGACAAGAGGGAAGGGCACTGGGAGACTCCAAGGCTAGATGGGGCCAGCCCTGTTCCAGTTTCCCCTCAATGGGGTTCCCTTGCTCAGACTAAGGAAGAACCGTGACTCACTTCCTGCCTCGTTGGGTCTGACTGCAGAAGTATTGTCTCTACAACAGTGGCTGCTGCTGGTGGGGCTACCCCAGTGTGGCCCCTACCAGTCAGTCCCTTGTTGGGGAAAGTTCCCACTCCCAGTCTTCTCCCCCAGCTAAGTTTTCAGAACCCCTCATTCTTCCCCAGGTTTCCGGGTTTTGCAGCATTTGTAAGGATGCCCGTATGGTACCTTATCCTATTAACTGAGTATTGTCTCCATTTCATTTTTAAAAATTTATTTATTTATCTATTTATTTTTGGTATTCCTCCCCCGAGGATATTTTCCCATTGATTTTTAGAGAGAGAAGGGAAGGACAGAGACAGAGAGAGACACATGGATTGGTTGCCTCCCGCATGCACCCCCGACCAGGGCCAGGGATCAAGCCTACAACCGAGGTACGTGCCCTTGACCAGAATCAAACCCGGGGACCTTTCAGCCCGCAGGCCGACATTCTATCCACTGAGCCAGACCGGCTAGGGCTAATATCTCCATTTCAGAGGGGTTAATTGAGGCTTAGTTATTGTGTGTCTAAGGTGGCGTAAAATAGTACAGCAGGGATTTGAACCCAGGTTCGCTGACTGGCGTGTCACAGAGTGAGTCCTTAGGAATGTCACTTAACCTCTCTGGCCCCGATTCTGTCCTGTGTAAAATGTAGCGATGCACAAAAGGTACCTAAAGGAGCCTGGCCAGTGTTGCTCAGTGGTTGATCGTCGACCTATGAACCAGGAGGTCAAGGTTTGATTCCTAGTCAGAGCAAATGCCTGGGTTGTGGGCTCCATCCCCTTTGGGGAAGGGAGGGGCGATCAATGATTCTCTCTCATCATTGATGTTTCTATCCCTCTCCCTTTCTCTCTCTGAAATCAATAAAAACATGTATTTTTTTAAAAAGGTACCTAAAGGAAAATGTATTAATTACATCCACCTCATAGGGCTTGCGGCGAGGAAGAAGCGAGTTCCAGGGGAAGAGCTGAGAAGAGCAGCCGGCTTCCGGCAAACACTGGGCCCTGTTCATTTTTTGTCCTTATCCCCAAACCTGTGCTGCCAGGTTATCTCTGGGTGAACAGGAAGGGATGAGCAGAGACTGCTCAGCGACCTTGGACTAACCTAGCCCGGGGAGCTCTTGGCCACATGTCCCCTCTTTTCTCTCGCAGCTCAAGCAGGGGCGGCCTCGCCAAGTAGCACAGACGTTTTCTAGGGCAGGGACCCAGGGAGGGAGCCGACTTGGCTGGTACATTGCAAGTCCCGGGGTGCAGGCTCTGCCCAAGCGCCACACACCGCCTCCAGGCGCCGCGGCCTGCTAGCTAGGGAACGCGGACAGATTATTTAAACTTTGTACGCCTCAGTTTCCTTATCTGTAAAATGGGATTAGTGTCAGCTTGAAGGGATTATGTGGGTTAAATAATGTACATAAGAGGGAGATAATGTAAAGTGCCTGGCCTGGTGCCCCGTCGGGCGGTCACAAGAAAAGGCGGTGGGCTTCTTGTTCTGCTTGTCCACCTGTCTGTACAGATAACAGGTTCACCTCAGGGCTCGGCTCCTGGGACAGTGGGTCCGAGGTCTGCCGCCTGCTGTGCAGTCCGATCACAGGTGGGTGCCCCCGATCCGTCGTCCAGGGCATTTACCCGGTCGGTCAGGCTCAAACTCGCGGCTCTGGAGTGGGAAGTGGGGGAGAGGGTTCCCCCCAGAATCCAGCCGCCACGGGGCTCCCAGACACGCCTCAAGCCCTTCCCAGCCCAGGCCAAGGGTCTGCGGGTCTCCGCGCCTCCGGCCGGAGGAGCTCGCAGCGCGCAGAGCCGAGCCGGGCGCGGGCGGTGGGGCCTGGGGGACGCGCCCGGAGCCCGCGATGGCGTTGGGATCGCCAACCCCGTCTCCTCCCCGCCACGACCGTGCGCCGGCGGCGGCGGCGGGCGCCCCCGAGGCTGCCGGGCCTCCGCCGGGGGCCGGCGCTGCTCTCCACGCGGGCCGGGCGGCATGGGCGGCGGCGGGGCGGCGGGACGGAGGCGGCGGCCGGGAGCGCGGAGGTGGCGCCGCGCGGGGGGAGGGGCGCGGCGGCGGAGGAGGAGGAGCCGGGGCCGCCGCAGCCGCTGACAGCGGCCGGAGTAAACAAGCCGCGCCGCCGCGGCCCGGCCGCTGCCCCCGCCCGCGCCGGAGCCCGAGCCCAGGCCGAGCCCTGCCCTCGTCGCCGGCCGGGCCGAGGCCGCGCCGCCGCGCCGCCCGCCTCCGCGCGGTGACGCCGCTGCCGGGCGCGGGGAGCGCGCGGAGCTCAGGCCCCGCCGCCGGGCTCTCCGCTCGGCCGAGGGCGCCCGAGCCGCCGCGGCGCTCGCCCGGAAAAGTTTCCCCGCCCGGGCTCCCCGAGGTAAGCGGCGAGGGTGCGGGGCCTGGGAGCCGGCGCCGGGCCGGGGAGCCGCGGGCCGGGCCCGCGCTGGAGGCGCCCCCCGAGCGCGCGGCCCGGCCTGCCCGCGTCGGTACTTTTCCGCTGGGGCCGGGCGAGCCCTCTGACCCCGGGGAGCGCCGCGGGGCCGCCGGGGGCGGGATGGGGAGGGAATTCCAGCGGCGCCGGCGCCCCCCTCCCGCCCCGCCGTGCCCCGGGGGCCGCCCCCGGCTCGGCCCCTCCGCGCCGGGGGAGGAGGAGCTGCTGCCGCGGGGCGGGGGCTGGACCCGGCCCGGCCTCGCCCCGCCCGCACACCTGGGCTGCCCGAGACTCAGGTGCGGGACCCGCGGCGACAGGAGGCCGGCGCAGGTAGGTGCTGGGCTGCCTCCCGCCGAGGCCTGGCCGCGGCCCCCGCTGCCCGGGAGGGGCTGCCCGGGACGGACGGGACGGAGGGGCGGCCGGCCGGCCAGCCAGACAGGTCTGACAGCCGGCGGTCGGGTCGGAGCCGGTCCCCCTCCGGCCCCACTTCCTGGTCCCGGGCTCCGGACCGGCTTTCCCGGGAGGCGTTGGAATTCTCTGGGACTCGGGCAGCGCGATGCGGGCGCTGAGCTGGCCTAGCGGCCGGGCAGCTGCGGCCAGGTGTGGACATGAGCCTGAGCCTGCTCGACCCCGGTGGTCCCCGGGTCACTAGCGACTCCACTGGGCTTCCGCGTAGGATTTGATTGGGTTGCGTGTGCGTTTTTCTAAGGATTCTGTGGCTTTAAAAAAAAAGTTTGAAAAAAATCTCTGGGCTAGCAGTTCTTACCACCAAGGAAACTGAGGCTCAGAGAGGAAGTGACTTATCTAAGATCACACCGCCAATGTGAGCTGGGCAGGGACTGGAAGTCACAATTTCAGGGGAGCCTTTAAGTGTCTGTAACAGGACCTGGCTTGGTGGTGGGAGAGGCCGGAAGGAGAGACGGGATCAGGTTTCCCCCGGGCAGCCTGGTCCCCGCCAGACCCCCAGACCTGGGGGTAGGTTCAGTGTGGGTGCCTTGGAGCGGCTGTCGGTTTCCGGAGGTTCCCGGGGCCGGGAAAAGAGAGGACACAGCCAGGAAGAGCACCCACAGCTGAGTCCCATGTGAGAGGGCATCACGGGAGGCTAGAAATACAGCAAGAACTGGGACTCAGGGTGAGTCAGAGTCTGGGATGGGGGTGGGGAGAAGCCCATTCATTCATTGTTCTCAGCGCCTGCTCTTTGGGGAAATGGGGGGTCCGAGCTCCCTCCAGGATGATGAGGCAGGGCTGTCTGGGGGGGTGTCGGGGCTCTGTGGAAGCCATACCCCCCCCCCTGCCACAGTGGGGAACGTTGGCCCCAGCGAGCACGCCCTTGCTTGGGGATTGTTCGTTGGTGCCTGTTTTCTTTCCGGGTGCTGCAAGGTAATTAAATAGTTGGTTAATCACCTTTAACGCCAAGCAGCTGCCGCTTGCTCCATCCACAGTCGGCGGGAACTTGGGCTCGAACCAAATGAGCCCAGTTTTAGTGTGGGGGTTCCAGCAGCAGGGCTCACAGCACTGTGGTCAGGGGGTGACTTTGCATGACGCCTGGACCCAGAAGGCAGCTATCGTGGTGGCAAGACGGGGAGAAGAGGCCTCGTTTCCATCCGTTCCCAGAGCCCCAATGTCCTCTGTTAAATGAGGGGCTTGGGGTCCCTTCACCCCCTGGGGCCGGCGGTCTGGCTGTCCAGCCATTGCTTAGACCAGCTCTCTGGAACTGGGCCGCCCCAGGCCTCCTGGGGCTGTGGCTTCCGAGCCTGTCCCCTGAGAGCCATGTGGACTTTGACCCTCCAGGGTGAGGAGCTGCATTGTGGATGCCGCCTGCCATCAGCTGTCAGGTTATTTTGGTGTAAACTGAAAATACTCCAGGAATAGCCCGAGTCCCCCCAGCCGGCGTGGTGGGGCTGGGACCGGAGGAGCGGTGTAGCCGAGGAGGCTGGTCGTGGCTGAGGGCAGCCCTGGAGAAGTGACGGGTTCCCAGGGGTGAGCCTGCCCGCCCAGCTCCCGGGGGAGCGTCATTTTGCCGCCTGGCAGAGTGGCCTCCTGTGGAGCTGGGCCCTGTCGCTGAGATAGGACACCTTCTGCAGCCCCACGGGGACCTCCCCCAACTCCCCCCACCCCCACCCCAGGGGCTTGGCTTCTAGCTAGTTAGGGGCCCTCTGTGGGGACAGTTATGTGGCCCTGGGCAGAGAGGTCCCGCTGTCTGTTTGCTAAAGGAGGAAAAACAACACGAGGTCTATTGATTCAGCCTCACCTTGGTGCTCCTGGCCCGGCAGCCAGTGTTTGCCCTGGCTGCCCGCTCGCTGGGATTACGAAAGGCTGGTGGGCGTGGAAGGAGCAGGGGGGCTGCTGGGGACCTCCAGGCCCCGGGGGGGACAGGGCTGGGCAGCCCTGGCCGTTCCCCAGGAAACAGTAAAAAGGAGTCTGCGCCCCTGACTTTGATGGTGGCCGAGGGTCTGGGCTGCAGAGGGAGGGGAAGCCATAGGGATCCCTGCGCTCAGCCGGCGCCAAGCCCCCATCCCACCTGGGGTCGCCCACCTTTCTTCCCAGGGGCTGTGCCTCTTTGCAGGTAACTCGGGGGCTGGGGCTGCTTTGCCGAACCAGGAAACCCCAGTGAACTTCGTAGATGCCGCCCCTCAAGGAACTTTAAAAAGCCAACATTTTGTTCCTTTATAAAATACACCTGGGTGATCTGGAACGCAAACGGCGACCAAAGGAGAAAACAGTGCCTCGTCGTGCTCACCATCTTGGGAGAGCCATTGTTAACGTGTGAGCGTGTGTCTGCCCAGCTTTTGTTTTGCGGTTATATATAAACATACAT